TTACGCCTGGGCAGGTGCGCACCTGTCATTCTTGCCTGCTACTGCTACTTTGATCTTCTCGATTTTGGAATTCTTCTCTGAAATGTGATGGGTTGAAGTTCAGTTCAGTTGTGGTTTACTACAATGCGGTTTCCTTGATCAAATTTCAATACTGCTTGGATTGTGGCGGGACTCATTATAGAACAGGGTTTTTTAAAAAGGAGAGCTTTTTAGGGGAATTTGTCCCCTGAAGTGGCATAGTTTTATTTCCGTCTGAAAAGTGTTTGTGAGTTGATGACTGCTCAGCTTGCCTTGCTTAGTGAAAAGGAACTTGCTCTAAGTAACCTTTCTTTGCTTAGCTGCCATGTGCAAGGGCTGGAGTCTGATCTCATGCTGATGCTAACTCTGGCTTCCAGTTGCTTATTCTTGGAATTCGAATTCAACATTTTTGCATCGATCCCTAGATTAAGATTGCTATGCTTGTTCCCCTGGCAACGTTTCTTGAGACATGTTTATCTGTTTTACTAGTTTCAGGAATTTATTCTGGTTATCAAAGCTAATGGTGGATGTGAAATCTTTGGCAACTCAAATTTTAATGTTCAAGAAGAGCTGAAGTTTGAATGTTTATATAAGAGATATTTTTTGAACAGCTTCTTCATTTCATTTATGTGTTGGTTTGTTTCTTGCTGTTGATTGATTAAATATGAAATTGATTCTTTAGGAATTGTTCATTCTAATGATATTTTTGAGGTCGGTGTCGTGTGCTTAGCTTTGTTGGTGTATATATATGAAAGTTACTTTACTGTGACGCAGGTGTCCTTTTTGCTTGGTTTTATCCCAATCCTTACTGCATGGGTATACTCAGAGTTCCTGGAGTACAAGAAGTCTTCAGCTCCTGCCAAAGTGTAAGTGCAGTCATTGTATTATCCGATTGAGCAGATAATGATGCTGCTTGTACAGCTGCTAGCTTGTTTTCTGTTGAGTTCAGGATGCAGCTTACGTGGAAGCCCGACATAGGTTGTAGAGCAAAGTTGCTAAAGTTCAGCTGTTTGGGCGCAATAATTAATGTCCCCTAGAAGTTTTATGTTTTGATGCTGGATGAGAATACATATTGGCTCCGCATATCCTAGTCATAAAATTTGGTCTTATCGTCCTCTTAATTTGTTTTCCCTTGACCCTGACAACTGAGCTGTCCGTACTTCAGTCATTCAGACAACAACCTTGATGAATTGGGGAAGGATGCTGTCAAAGAAGACGAGCGAGCAGTATTGTTGGAAGGAGGTCTTGCAAGATCAGCATCGACGAAATTCCATGTTTCATCTATTAAAATGAATTTAATCAGGTTCAATTCTAGGATGTGTTGTTATCCTGGCAATTGTATTTTGACATTAGTTGAATTCTTTCTTACCCTCTGCACATGTAATTTACCAGGTTCTTGACCATGGATGATGCTTTCTTGCTGGAAAACAGAGCAACTTTGAGAGCAATGTAAGTGATACTAGTTTATTTTTCAATGTCCATGTTCTTTGTTCCTTAATTCCCCCTATCCTAAATTCTAACCAGATAAACCTCTGCAGGTCTGAATTTGGGGCACTTTTAGTGTATTTTTACATATGTGATCGCACAAATTTGCTGGCAGATTCTACTAAGGTACTGTTACTGTCAAGTGACGTTACATTACTCTTTTGCGTGGTCTATGAACTGCTAATGCTGGACACTATTGTGACTCCATCTGCTTATTCTGTTGTTCTTTGGACAGGCATACAACCGCGACCTCTTTATCTTTCTCTACATTATCCTCATTATAGTATCAGCGATGACTTCTTTTAAGAAGCATAGTGACAAGTCAGCATTCTCCGGGAAATCCATTATGTACTTGAACAGGCATCAGACTGAGGAGTGGAAAGGATGGATGCAGGCCAGTATTATTTCCTATCAAATTGTAGCAAATAATTAATTCTATTTAGTAGCTTCATACACCAATTTTAAAAATGCACTTATTTTAGAGTTTGATGTGATGTTCTACATGTCAAACTTATTCATTTCCATTTTGCTTCCTCTATTTAGGTTTGTTAGTGAACAGTGCTTCTTCATGTCATTTAACGGTTTTTGAATCCCCCCTTCCATAACCTTGTGATAGTTAGTGGATCATCCTTCGTCCGGTGTTAGAAGTTACCAAGCAAGTTTTAAGACAATAAAATAAGATGTTAGTTTCTTCTCCACCAGAATGAAGTAGATTAGGTTTGAGTCAACCGAATCCTGTCGTTGACTGTATATTAGTAACAACATATTGACTATGTTGATGATTATCTTGTTCATGTTTGGTGTTATAGCTTGATTTTTTCTCATGCCAAAATATTTGGTTTGGTTTCACAGGTCCTATTCTTAATGTATCATTACTTCGCCGCGGCAGAGATATACAATGCAATACGAGTCTTCATTGCTGCTTATGTCTGGATGACTGGGTTTGGAAACTTCTCTTACTATTACATCAGAAAAGATTTCAGCATAGCACGCTTTGCTCAGGTATTTGTTTCTACTTCTATCAAGGTTTAACTCTTTCTGTAACTACCACAAGTATTCTTCTCTGTTGCATTCTATCTTATCTGATCTATTCTTCTGAATCTTGAAATATCTGGTGCAGATGATGTGGCGGCTTAATTTCTTTGTGGTGTTCTGCTGTATTGTTCTTAACAATGACTACATGTTGTACTACATCTGCCCAATGCATACACTTTTCACTTTGATGGTGTACGGATCCCTGGGTATCTTTAACAAGTACAACGAAAACAGTTCGGTGATGGCAGTGAAATTTCTTTCCTGCTTCCTTGCTGTAATTTTCATCTGGGAAATCCCTGGGGTTTTTGAAATCCTATGGAGTCCTTTAACATTTATGTTAGGTTTGTTCTCATTAACACATTTTCTCCTTATCTTTCAATGGAATAGTTCTCACTTCCCAGCTAATGTGGTTTACACACCTGTGGAATTTTTTAGGCATTAAGGTCTGGATGTGAAAATACAGTTAATTTGTTTTCCTACTGTAGGGTACACTGATCCTGCAAAACCTGATTTCCCTAGAATCCATGAATGGCATTTCAGATCTGGACTTGATCGGTACATATGGATCATTGGAATGATATATGCTTATTATCACCCGACTGTGAGTGTTCTATATCTGTTGGATAAAGGATCTATGTCCATTTCTTACTATCTAAGCTCACCATCTCTCTTACACGCTGCTGTGAAAATTCTCAGGTTGAGAAATGGATGGAGAAATTGGAAGAAGCTGAAACAAAGAAGAAACTCTCAATCAAGACGGGAGTAGTGGCAGTTACTGTATTTGTGAGTTGCTCCTACCATAATCTGCTTCTCAACTCCTCGTTAATTACAAGTTTTTTTTATGTCATAACCATTATCCTGTCTTCTTGTAGGTGGGATATATGTGGTATGAATATATTTACAAGATGGACAAGGTAACCTACAACAAGTTCCACCCATACACATCATGGATTCCCATCACGTATGTATCAATCAAGGACTTAGCTTTTGTTTTCTGCATACAAAAAAGACATAATTCCGTTATGTCGTGTTCTTTCAAATATCTCATTGTTGCATCTGCCTTATTCTAATGCCAGTGTATACATTTCCCTGAGGAATTTCACTCACCAGCTCCGGGGTTGCTCTTTAACTCTCTTTGCGTAAGTTACTTACATGCAACAAACTTTACTATTTACTTTTTTGGACATTATCTGATTACATTTGTTTTTTGCTTTGTTTGGGACTCCGGTTTATAGCTGGCTTGGGAAGATAACTTTGGAAACATATATCTCACAGTTCCATATCTGGTTGAGGTTTGTACACTGAATGACCACTTAAGTCTTCTCCGATTTCGTAGCTATTTAGTAAGGGAGTTTCATATGACTTTCTTATGCATGCTTTAGATCCAACATGCCCAATGGACAGCCTAAGTGGCTTTTATCATTCATCCCAGGATACCCATTGTTGAATTTCATGCTCACAACTGCCATTTACGTCCTGGTAAGCAGAAGTTAAATCTCGATGTATATAACTTGCTGTGGTCAACATGAATTCTTGATTTTTAATCAAGCAGCGGTCTTTGCTTCCAGGTTTCCCATCGGCTCTTTGACTTAACAAACACATTGAAGTCGGTTTTCGTCCCAACGAAAGATAACCGACGGCTTTTCTACAATGTTATCGCTGGAGCTGCAATTTCTTTGTTTTTGTACTGTTTCTCACTTATTCTTCTTCAGATCCCTCATTCACCCGTAAGTCCTTGAACTATTCTTACCCCTAGAACCTATAATCTAGATTCATACATATGCCAACATTTCTTGCTTGAATCTTGATGCAGGCCTAAGCAAGGGAAGGAAAAGGGGTGAAAGTATAGAGAGGTGTTTCTTTGTTGAACATACACAGTATAGATGGTCTGGAAATAAGGAAAACTCAGAAAATTACTTTTGCTTCGCGGATCCATTTCGGAGGAAAATGGGGATAAAGATGAAAGCATATTCTTTACGACGAACTTTGGGGAGAAGAAAAGGAAACCCTTCTATTTTCATTAACAGTGTTTGAAGTTGGAGCTGGGGATTGTGCTCAAAATTCTGAAGACTGGTTCTTGGCGTTACTGGCTCGAGACGAGACAAGATGGAGATTCTCTTCCTTACTTTTTTCCTTTAGATCCCCAATTTTATGCAGAAATTATTGAAATAGGTGTAGGAAAATCCAGATTACCTTGTTTGTCATTAACCCCCAACGCACATGTACTCAAAATTATTCAATACAATTTCGAAAATTTTACATAAAGGCATATTTAGTGATATGACTATGATAATATCCATGTTACACTTTGCTGCAAACAAAACCCTATTACAGACTACAGTATGTCATCTGACAAAGCACCCAGTCAGCTACAAGCCAGCTGAGATCACCAAAGTCGGCATCTTCAATGAGCAATAACATTAGTTCATAATTCTAAGTTTTTTACACGTTCTTCCAATTGTTCTTTCTATAGTACTTTATCTTACAATCAGAGCCACCAGTGGAGCATTTTTCCTGGACTGAAGTTGGGGAACTTGAGCCATATCTGCAGTAGTCAGTCTCCAGTGGACAGTGTTCTTCTTTGCAGCGGCAGCGAGACAGACAGCGGCAGTTGGGACTAGGATCAGTAATTTTAGGACGAACTTTAACGCTCTAGAATTTTATCATTTATATAGCAATTAGCGAACAAAGCCATGCATAACCCATATAATTGCTTGCACCGCAAGTCCAAGGCCCCAAGTCCCCAACCGCAGCCAGGCAGTAAAGCAAAAGAGGACAGCCCTTAATAAGCCAGGCAGCTAGGCTATAATCATTGCTTCATCTCTGCCGCCCAGCACATCTATAATGCTTTGCTGTATTTTGCTACTGAACCAACATACAGCTGGACGAAGATTCTCCCTACGAAAGACTGGGAACCACAGAGAACCCACTCCATAAATAGAACCCAGATTTGCTCTCAATCTGCACAACCCAAAAGCAAAACCGTCTTATTCCTCCCCTTCTACTGCCATTTCAACTCAGCTTGGAAGTTTGGCAGAGTTCCATAATGGTAGCTGCTAGCAAGAGAAACATCATGGCTTGCATTGTCTACATCATGGTTCTCCTGGCTTTCATCGCTGGGTTTGGAGGCTCGGCAGTTGCAGCTCAAGATTCGGGAGCAGCGGCACCTTCCCCTCAAATGCAAAGCGCTGCCACAACAAACCTTGCTTTCCCAGCCGCCACACTTGCTGCCATTGCGACTCTGGTCGCCTGCTTTGTCTAGCAAGTTGATGGGTAGCTCAAATGAAAATGTCAGCTCTTTTTTCATTCTTTCAAGAGCTTGTAATATGAACCACCAATAAAACTTCAACTTACAGATGGAAAATGCAATATTTTACATCACTACAAGTGTTCAATGTTACACGCATCTGTAGATTTCCACAACTTCGTAGGATGATTCCCAAAATGAGTCAATTCCCTAACTGAAACTTCTGCAGTCACATGATCATGTTAGTACAATGACTACTGCTGCTAAATATGATATCAGCAAAGGTTTCCTGCCCTATCATTGGCTGCATTCTCCCCTATACAAAAGTAGGCTAACAATCAGAAAAGTTCATACTAATTATATATCAGCCTTGCAGTTTTGAACAAAATTAGCAAAAGGCAACAGAAGGGAGACATTTAGGTCAGGTTACACAAGAAAAGGGTGCCTAATCTGAAGGGACTTGACTACGAATCCCTCGGAAGATATGCACATTTAGCTTCATCACCCTCTTTATGGGATCCCCATTTTCAGGCTTAACAAGCTCAAAAACACAGACATCTCCTAGTGCCAGAGAATTCCCTGCTGTAAACTCTCTCCAACCGCTAGCCAGTACCTTTTCCTGCCTGCCAGTTTTCAGCACATACCTTCCAATCCTTACATCCCACCATTTGCCTCCAACAACCCTTAACTCCCCTTCATCATACACTTCCTTGACATGCTCACAAAATGCCACTGGTATTTTCTGCAGTCCATTTCAGAGAAGAGATGAAGGAAACAAGTAACATGAATATAATAATAAAAAATGTGGCTTGGCAATGATTGGCGAACTTACCACCTTGTTCATGGTTAGATGACTATCAGCTACACGTATTTTGAAGAATGGTTGCTTGGAGGTAAAGGCATCTGCAGTTTTTGAAGCACCTGTTTTAAACAACATAAGGTAAACTGGTAAAGAGGATTTATCATTGGCTGCACATAGTTGAAACTAAGAGTTAGCACATCATGTAATTATTTGCCAAACTCCCAATAACCACCACTACTGCCATATGATTTTCTTCCCGCAGACTTTGACTTCATTCCATTCCGAAGCTTAGGAGGAGACGACACAGACGAGTAGGGATTCGCATCTTGGGGAGCTCGAAAGATGATCACTTGCAGTCTGGGTTTAGCACCGCCTTCAACCAGCTCAAATACACATACATCGCCAACTCTCAACTCGTTCTCCTTTACAAACCGACCCCAACTTCGGCCATCAAACACAGTTCTGCTCTTCCTTTTATTATAAGCATCCACGGCAAAGTACTTAATCATCCAGGATCTTCCATCAGAAAGTTGGAGTTGAATCTCTCCGCATTCCTCCAATTTTGTCATCACAGAGTTGATAGGTAGATACTGGCATTCAAAGAAGCAAATAGAACAGCAAACAAATAGAGGAACTTGGGACATTAGAACCACAATAGACCTGCTGAACTTACTAACATAAGAAGAGATTAATGAATGAATTACCAATCTCATTCCAGGGCCAAGATACGATCGCTGCATAACAATCATGAAGAAAGGGTTCTTCGATTGGAAAGCAAAAATCGCTCTAGTAAGTGCACTAGCTCTCTCGTCAACTGTCAATGGTCTTTCCTTCTGGAATTCCCCACGCCGTTTCTTACTAGGTTTATCTGAGTAATGAAACAATAGTTGGGAAAGCCTTAAGAAAACGTATTAACCAATGACATGGGAGGACAAAAATGATGGACATACCTTGCACTTTAGAAGTAGAACCATGGCAGATAATAGTCTCAGAGGTTCTCTCGGTCCTTTCATCATCGATTCTTCTTTTCAGCTTCTTGGGTTGGGGAGCTCTTACTGGCGGTTTTTCTCTTGCTTTTGGGGAAGGGCAGCGATCATTCGAGGTATCGTCAGAGATATCTATGATCGGCTCTGGCTCAAGTCTCACACTAGTTTCATGGGTCTGGTAATCGATTTCACGGGCGGTCTTATCAAATATGAGAACAAGGAAACGGCCATGGCTACCGTACTGAAAAACCAGCAACTGCCCCGATGCTAGTGAGTAGAAATCAGCAAATTCTCTCCAACCCTCCTGGAACCAGATCTTTTCGCCGCTTCTGAGTAACCCAACTCGCCATTCTGCTCCACTTGGGAGCTTGAAAATCACTTGTTCTGGCAGCAGAGCTCCATACTCTGCTGTAAACAACTTCGGTAGACACTGCAATTGATTCACGAAGAACAAAAATCAAGAAAGTGGGGGAAGTGGGAAGAAGAGGACAGAGATCAAAAGCAAAAATTTCTCAGGGATGTAAAGCACGAAGCAGGCTTGTAAAAAGCAAAAAAAAAAAAAAAAACGGAACCCATTTATTAACCGAGGTCTGCTAAATGCAGAAACGAAAGAAACTCACCAGCTTCTCATCACGAGCTGAATCGTCCACGATGATCGTCGAAAAACGGGGGGTCTTCACCTTGAACATCCACCGCCAGCCGCATTCCTCCTCCATTCCCTCGGAAGGTAAAAAGAGCTTCAAACTTCGATTCTCTCTCTCTTGTTGGCTACCCTTGTTTGCTTTCTTCTATGGAGTTGTGGGTGGTTGTATATTGATGTTGAGAAGCTCCAGGTGAGAAGGAAGTGAAAAGATCTGTTAATTGATTTGATGCTCTGTTCAGTGTCAGACGGACCCTGCAAGCAAAGCTAAAGCCCACAAGCATTGTGCTGCTCTGCTAACTTCTGGGGAGGTTCAGGAGGCGAATGAAAAAGCTGCTCGCGTTCAGAGACTCAGCAAATGGAATCGGCTCTCTGATGGGAGTTCAGACTTCAGACTGCAGGGCAATCCATAAATATGGTGGAAGAATAGGTAGTTCGGTTAGGAAAAAATCACACAATACTCTAATTATTAAAAACAATTCCCTAAAACAATTCCCTAAATACAATACTTATAAAGTTATTTCCCAAAGTACAGCAGATTCAACATCACTGTCGAATACGAAGACAGTGATTATAATTACCGTTTTAGTCTAAAACGATGATAACATCATCGTTTTTGACAAAAGCAGTGATGCTCTCACTGCTGAGGAGAAAAACGGGGAAACAATCCCCGCTTTGGTGAACAACGGGGATCTTCTGTCCGTTGATTAGGAAAGCGGTGAAGGGATCTTTACCGTTGATGTCAAAAACGGTGAAGTGGCGCGGATCGCTGACGTGGACACGCGCGGGCACTTCACCGTTAATGACAAAACCGGTGATAGCCCCGCTTTCCATGCAGCGATCCGCGCCACCCACGCCTTTACCGTTACCGTTGGATGCGGTGAGGCGTGGATTGTGGTTTTTCTCCACGATCCGACGCCTCACATGGCGCCACATCACCGATCCGAGCCATCACCGTGTTTCTTCAAGGCGGTGACTTCACTGCTTTTGTTGGACGCAGTGATTAATGCTCCAAACTTTTTCAGCGCCCAAACCCTATAAATACCACTCCCACTCCCCCCCCCCCCCCCCCTCTCTCATTCCAAATCACACCACCATTTTATACTTCTTTCTCCCTCCATTACTTCACTCTAGTTTCGTTCTAAGTATGCTCTGTGGTTGCGGCTAAGTCTGATCTTCCGCATCAGAAAGAATTACTAGAGTTTTTGTTTTGTCGATACTCTCTCTAGCTTTTTGGCAAAAAATGGAAGAAGATGCTCTGAGAGTACGTAAATTTATTTTTTTTCTTTTGTGATTTTTTTAAATGGGTGCTGAAATATAAATTGATTTGATTTCTTATTTTTTTATAGATGGGTGCTAAGATATACGACTCTCGATTGTATATCGATCCTGGCCCAAGGGATCGAAGGTATTTAACCGGGCAAGATCAACATTGCTCCCGTGCAATTTGGAACAATAATCCGGTAGACACTAAAATTATTTCATTAGTTTAAAAGTTTTTATTTTGCTTTCTATTGACTCACAACATTGTGTTTTTTGTTTTGTAGGAATCGCTTATTCCCATCAGTCATCGAGGGACATGTCGATTGCCCCATTGGCATGCTCGAGTAGTGCCCTATCTAGAGAGGACGGGATTGCACATGCTGAGGCACTTCATGAGGCTTGATATTGACAACGATCTGCTGACGGCAATGGCAGAGCGATGGCGTCGCGAGTTGCATACCTTCCACTTTCCCGAGGGTGAAATGACGATCACCCTCAAAGATGTTGTCATCCTCACCGGGCTCCCGATCACCGGAGATGCCATCATCGACAACTCGAGAAAACCGGAAGATGGTTGGGGGCCGTTGATTCAAGAGCGTTTGAGATTCAACATGCCGACCACCACGCCCGTCGAAGGGGTTGGGCGTCCACCACTGAATGCGGGGCAAGTATCGATCCCGTGGCTTGTTGAACACATCCAGTTGGAGGTTAATATTGGCCCGAACACTCCTGAAGATCAGGTGGAGCGGTATGCACGTGTCTACCTAATTGGCTTGGTTGGTGGGTTTCTGTTCCCCGACAAGACAAACCGGTGGATACAAGGCATGCGGTTACCTATGCTCCTCGGTGACTGGGACGAGATCGGGAAAAAAAAGTTGGGGGTCAGCCGTCTTGGCTGGGATCTACCGAGAGTTGTGTACTTGCTCGAGGTTGGGAGCGAAACAAGCTGGTGGTGCGATGTTCATACTCCAGCTCTAGGCATGGATAGCTCGGCTCAAGATGGTCATCGTTACCAGCATAACCAACATCGTCTTCTTGGTCATGTGAAGTACGCCCAGATCGAAGGGTGTTCTCAATGTCAGCCCACTCTGGACCCCAAGCAGGCCATTGATCATCGTCGGGCTGAACGATATCGACGGCAGTCTCAGCATGTTGCGGGTATTCTTCCCACCCAACACCTCCTTCAGAACTACCTCCTCCATAGTTGCTTGAAGTACCACCCCAGCCATACCCTCCTGCAGAAGTACCTCCTCCGTAGTTACTTGAACTACCACCCCAGCCATACCCTCCTGCAAAACCATCATCACAATAATACTGGTGAGAATGAGTTTCACCGACCGACTCGGTCTCGACATACACCTCTGCAAGCCGCACCCCGTTGTCAAATAGGAATTGTATCATCATGTTCATCGCGTCATCATCATTTATGAAAACTTTTTCGTACATGATTCCGTCAGCACTCATGTTTGGATACCGGTAAGTAATTTGACCAACTCTCATTTGCTCGCCCGTACAAGTCCTTTCTGCACAAATGTCATGGAGTTCTTGCCACGAGAATCTCGACTCAATTTTTAGCATAGTGGATTCGCCATTTTCATAGTCGATCCCAATGTTCGAGTTTGTCATCCGACCATGCCACCGAATAATAAGCCGAAACTTCTTAAATTTACCCATGTTTGCAATTTATAATAATTAAGTATAGTATATAATCAGTACATTAGGGATACAAAAACAATATCATCCAAACCCATAAACAAACGCAACTAATTGATCTATCATGAAAAAACTAAACAAATTCATCTAAATTCATAACTAACTAACTAACTAACATCTATCATATCATAATTAATCTAAATATATCATAACATATTTGCCAATAACCGCAATTCACTAAATACAGACATATAATTACTAATAAATCAACATGTAAACAATACATAATTATAACATACCGAATCCCGATGAGTTTCTTGTTGTTGTAAACCAACTCCAACCAAGCTGAGAAAACGACCAAAAAAACACTAATTTTTGTACTACTTTGCTGTAAGGCAGCAGGAGGGACGTGAGGATCGGTTTTTATAATGAAATATGCCAGCTAATCACCACAGTGGACAATTGCAGTGAACACATCACAGCTTTTGTCCAAAACGGTGATAGCTAGGTCGCTGTGACCTAATTTTCCACCTACTAGGGCTCTAAAACGTGGTCAAATATCACCATTTTGGTCGACGGGGATGATGTAATCACCGTTTTGCACAACAGCGGTGATGCAATCATCGTTTTGGACGGCGGCGGTGATATAGTCACCGTTTTGGAGGAAAGCGGTGATACCTTCCTCGTTGTTTTCGAAAGCGGTGATACCTTCCCCGTTGTTTTCGAAAGCGGTGATTATGATCACTGTCTTCGTCTTCGACAGTGATATTGATATTGCTGTACTTTGGGAAATAACTTTATAAGTACTGTATTTAGGGAAATTTTTTTAATAACTTGAGTATTCTGGGATTTTTTCCGTTTGGTTGATTCATTAAATAGGTCACCTACTGGATACTAGGGGTGTTCAAACTGTTTGGTTACCATGGTAATCGTTTTAACCGGTACTATTTGGATAATTTGGTTTGGTTAATTTGGATAATTGGTTTGGTTTGGTTTGGTTAAAGTTTTTAGCTTGTTTGGTTTAGGTGGTTTGGTTTGGTTTGGTTTCACACACTCCTAACCAGCCAAACCAAATTAACCAGTTAAGTAATTAGTCATATATCTAACATATATTATATACACATACTTAATACTTTGCATAACCACTCAAGAGTTAACGTTCGTCCCTTTTAGACTCATAAAATATAAAGCTCAATATTGCTCATATAGTGTATATTTGTATATGTAAAGTGTAGACCACAACATATGAACGCCTAATTTAGATCAATTTCATACATTATGATGGATGAAAACTTGAAAGGAAGGTCATTTCCAGCCTATGATAATTGCTAAGAGACTAAGTCAATTTACACAAACACAACAATTCATTAACCCATACCATTGTCATAAATTTTTGTTAGGTGAATACTTCTATACTAATCGTAACATAATTGTATTATTTGCATGTATTTTTGTTAAGGGTCAACTATAACTACGTGTTGATTGTTATGTTTTATTCATTATATAAATTACGAATTGTTGCTTTAACCGAAAAATTTTCAATGTGATTTTATATTGGTTAATCTGGTTAACCAATTAACCAAACCAATTAAACTTTAGTTTGGTTAATTTGGTTGTTGTATTAGTTTGGACGGTTTGGTTATGATATTGTATTCCATGGTTAATGGAATTTAGCCTTATTTGATTTGGTTATAACCATGGTAACCATTTGAACACCCCTACTGGATACTGAATGTCATTAATTAGGATTTGCTAAATCGGTCTTCATCTTTTTGTTTGCCGGTTAACCAGACCGGTTATATGAGCGTTAATTTTTTATTTTTATTTTAGGCTTATCGGTTTGGGTATTGTTTAACGGTATCCCGGGTTATAATCTAGGGATTTTTCCAGAAATAGCATTGTTAAAAAAAAAAATCCTAAAATAGCACCTAACTCCGAAAAATTCTAAAAATAGCACCATTTTCCAAAAATCGCTCCCTACCAGTGCGGTTTAGGCGAAAACCGCCACCCAGGGGCGCGTTTTTCGATGAAAATCGCACCCCCAGGGGGCGGTTCTGCAGACCGCACCCCCACCATGCGATTTGGTTGCAGATCGCACCCCCAGGGTGCGATCTTTTTTTTTTTTTTTTTTTTTTGAAAAATCCTAACCTAGGTGGAAACTTCAAACGGACGTATCTTTGTGTTCGGGTATCCAATCGTCGCAAAATTTTTTTTGATTCCGCATAACTTTTTGAGATCTTGCAAGCCAAAGGTGGTTTGGTCCCGCCTTCATCCCAAAAAATGTCGTTTGCTACCCCGAACGAGCTTTTTTCCGATTTCGTCAAACTTTGGACAACCATAACTTTGTGCTCCAAAATCCAAAAAACATGAATTTTTTTTTTATTTCGCATAACTTTTTAAGGACTACAACTTTTATCATAGACACAATTTCAAAATGTACGTGGATTGCTGAGAAGGGAAGGTAAGCTATTCCCAAAATCCTGTATATCCAAAAATAATTCCTGTTTTGAAAATTCATTCTAGTAAAAATTGTAGTCCTTAAAAAGTTATACGAAATAAAAAAAAATTCATGTTGTTTGGATTTTGGAGCACAAAGTTATGGTTGTCCAAAGTTTGACGAAATCGGAAAAAAGCTCGTTCGGGGTAGCAAACGACATTTTTTAGGACGAAAGCAGGATCAAACCACCTTCGGCTTGCAAGATCTCAAAAAGTTATGCGGAATCAAAAAAAAATTCGCGACGATCGGATACCCGAACACAAAGATACGTTCGTTTAAAGTTTACACCTAGGTTAGGATTTTAAAAAAAAAAAAAAAAGCAGATCGCACCCTGGGGGTGCGGTTTTCATAGAAAAACGCGCCCCTTGGTGTCGGTTTTCGCTTAAACCGCACTGGTAGGGAGCGGTTTTTCAGAAAGGGTGCTATTTTTGGAATTTTTCGGAGTTGGGTGCTATTTTTGGAAATTTTTTTTTAAACAGTGCTATTTCTGGAAAAATCCCTATAATCTATCACATAACAGGAAATCATTAAAAACAAGGACAAAATTGCAGGAAGAAGAAACACAAATAATTCCCGAAAGTTGGTTTATAAGGATCATTACCCTTCTTAACAATTTTATATTTTTCTTAAACAATTTAAATTATTAGTTTTTCTTATAATTTCATGTCAACAAGATCCAATATGCACAAGGCAAAGTTCAACTTTTACTCGAAAATACTATTACAATTTACATGCTACTTCGATTTGATGGAAGCAAAGAGATCTTAATATGAATAGTTAGATGCACCCATATTAGAGACGATTTTCAATCCAGTGGTTCTAAACCTGCAGCGTCGAACATTCATAAAACACCAATTTGTGATTAAGACACTAGGGCTAGGCAGTCACTTTGTAGAGAGGATTGTTCACAAATCGAACATGGAGTATTAGGAAAGTGAGAGTCTGCTATATTAGTTCTACCACGTCGCTAACTACACAAAGAGAACCAATGCTAATGATGATCATTCTACTCTGCGAAATTCGCCAAGGAAATACGGGGATCAGTGTGGAGAACAAGCAAGCTACAATTACATTTCACGATCACGTTCAATCAGGCACCACTTTCACAACCCACTGGTGTTGCTTCTCCAGCAAGGCAACGTTAGGAGTTGACGGAGAGCAAAATCAAACCAAATGAACTTTTCCGTCGTCAGCGATCATCACTCTGTTATCATCTTGCAGTTTCTGGCAAAATAGCAAGAGAAAGAGACAGACTTTAGTCAAGAGTGAAAGAAGAGAGGGGGAGGGAGGGGGGACGTATGCTGCTGTTTAGGCGCCAGAGTTGCTTTGTTATTTTGAAGGTTTACCTGTAACAAGGTCATGATCTCTGGTCTCGAGTAAATAGCAGCTCCTGTGTTAATGGCCTTCTCCAGATCATCTATGGTTATGCTCTGCTGGTACCGCATACACTGAAGAAACGCTGAGTTGAATGCTTCGGTCCTGCAAAACTTGCCCGGAAACCAAAAGAACAAGAATCAGAATTACAGGCAGTCTCCTATGGTGAGAATCATGACGTCGCTACATATGATGGGCTTCCCCTTAGGTACGAAGTACGAACCTTTCCGTAGATATCCCTGTAGTGGGCTGCTCAGCAGGCTCATCTACATCCATGGCGTCTACATCAGGGCTGAGGAAGGAGCAAATGAGATGGAGAGGAATTAGTCTAGCAGGGATTATGAAAAACCAGAGTGTTGCTAACAAGATCAGGCCAACATAAATGAAACCAGTAAGGTGTTGTTTGGATGCTGGAATCTTGAAATGGGATATTTCCAAATCCCATCCATTTGGTAACAGGTTCTCGTTGTCCAAATGGATGAATTTCTGAATTCCTTCAGCAGATAATTTAAAGCCTATTTCGTCCCTCTAAATTCCAGCGTGCGAAAGACCCCTAAAACATAATACGAGGCTTTGATAAATGGGGGAGTCTACTGTCTACTCACCCGTCTCCGTCCGCATTAGTAGTGGCTTGATTATCATCTCCTGCTGTGTTCCGATTGGTACGGCGACGCTGAGCTCTGTTCTCTCTCTCAGCTTCCCTCTCCCTTTCGTGTTCACGCTCTTCCATGTCAGTCAACTCTTTATGATATATGGCAAAGTTCAGAACTTTCAGAGCAGCTTCAACGTCAGACTTCGTGACCTGGCCAAGGAAGGCATCCACCATGCATTACAGATGATCGCATTTGTGTTTTTGACGAAATATATAACAAGCAGAAAGAATAGCTTAACTTAAAACTCAAATACCTGTCTACTCAGTTTCAACTTTGCATGGGCAGCTGAGAGACGTATTATGGTTTCCAACGTTCTGGCAGTGATCGGAAGTGTTCCTCCCGTCTACAAAAATGCATAAGTGTTGAATTTGAGATCATTGATAATATTAGAAAGCATAATGCATATTGTCAGAAACAAACCTTTGTGGTTGTCCCAGAATTTCTCAGCTCAGCATAAGCAGTTGCAATTTGCTCCGATGCCTGTGTACCAACAAAGGGTGAGACTACTACAAAGGCTGATTTTCTTATGCATTCCAAATGTAAATGATAAACTGCTGACCCACCTCGTCGGTCAGCTCAGGTTGGAACCTGTGCTTAGCATAGTGAATATACTTCTTCAGAAAATTTATCGAAAGTGTATCCCTTTTGCGGGTTCTATCTGTTTTCTTCCCATGAAGCATTCGGTTATACTTGACAAATACCGATGTGTCGGTCTCTGCATCCTCTTCTCTTGCATATCTTGCACTTGCATCATCAACTGCTGCCTCACCTGCGTCGATTGCTGAACGATACCGGTGCATTCTCAAGACATGATCCGAGATTTGGCGGTCAATATCAGCATCCATTTGATCCAGTACTATGAAAAGCAAATCGAACCGAGAAAGCAAAGAGTCTGGAAGTCCTATGTTCTTAGTAGGCGTTATTGAGCGGTCATACTGCCACATAACATCAATAACAAACAACCCAGAAACATTATTTCACTTCAGCAGTTTGGAAGGAATAATAACTATTTGATTATTTGAAAAGAGGAAGATAGTCTAGCTTACGGTTCCATAAATGGGATTGGCAGCAGCCACCACACTGCATCTAGCATTTAGTGATGCATGGATCCCTGCTTTTGCAATAGTAACAGTCTGCTGTTCCATGACTTCGTGAATGGAAACACGATCCTGATCATTCATCTTATCAAATTCATCAATGCAAACGACACCTCTGTCAGCAAGAACCATGGCTCCAGCTTCTAGCCTTCTTTCTCCTGTTAACATTCAATAATGAGGGGAAGCTATAACCAGAATTTCTGGAAAAACAGAAAGAAGAAAACACTCGTTGTTGTTACCTGTTTCTTGATCAGAAGTTACAGCAGCAGTCAACCCCACGCCAGAAGACCCACGACCAGTGGTTGATATAGCTAAAGGAGCAATATTCATGATTGCTCGGAGTAGTTGTGATTTGGCAACAGAAGGATCGCCCACCATCATCATATTGATGTCACTGAAAAGGGAGAAAATACATTTTTTCCCCACAGAATCAATCACGGAATCCATCAAAATGCTCAGATTTACATAATAACAAGTCTGCAACGCCAGAAGCCTCCACTTCCAGCAAGTCCATCAGTAAAGTATAACTCACCCTCTCAAGTGAGTTCCATTTTCCAAGTTCTTTTCTACTCCACCAAGCATCAGTAACACAACAGCTTTCTTTATCCATGAATGTCCATATATCGAAGGTGCAAGCGAATTACCCAGTAGGTCAAAAACATCAGCTCTTTCAGCAATCTTTTTAATGTTCTTGATGTCGTCAGCAGTGTAAATTGGAGAACTAGCCAATTTGTTCAGGAGGGAAACATTATTAGCTATCAGCACGGTCCTGCATATCAAGCATCACTTCATCAAAACTGAAACTAGATGTCGCAAGAATAGAACGAGAAAATAGCTTGCGCCAGATAGAGGATCTTTTCTCTTACCTAAATACACCATTCACGCTTCCCTTGGTTTTCCCAGCAAGTGCTTTGTATATCCCAACCAATGCCACCCGGTCTCCAGGCTTACATGAATCAACAAGGTCATCCTCAACAATAATATCCAGTGTTCGAGGGAGCTGACCAGGAGCAGAATTCTCAGGCATCTCTTGCATTGACAAGGTTTGGTGATCTTTATACATGCACAAGCCATACTCAGTCACCAATAGATTCCCATGTTCATCCTGCATTATCAATGTTTCCATCAGCAAAAGGTTGACCCAGTAAGAATCTGACAAACTTACTAATCAAGTAACTCAGGCATACCCTTGTAGGATAAACAGACCCCGTTGGCAAGCCCACATTAGACGTTATATCTCTGTACTCCCGAGAAGTGAAGTCTCCAGTTGTAGGACAGTAATGCACACTTTTCACAACCTTTGGCCTAACAAGAGAACCTAAAATTCACAAAAAGAAAGCCAAAAGGTCAACTTAAATTAGCATCCACACCCAAAATGTTATCCAATCAAGCTATAAGAAACGGAAAAGGTTACATTTGGTGACAATGCCCTCCACGCAGACCATAGTGCCTATGTACTCAGATAGAAGCTCTCTGGGGGAGACACGGCGAGAGACAAAAGGGCCCTCAAAACCGACATGAACTTGCTCTCCTTCCTTCAAGAACAGTGGGTCAATACTTCGAGCAATATCTGTGGCCGCATCACAGAATGGTTGCATAAACTCGCTTGGATTCTTCAAGATCCTAAACCGCCCCCACAACAAGGGTAAATGTTAACACGGTCGAGACTTATACAAACTTCACAGAGAAAACGAAATCGGAAAAGGGACCATAATTATAGTCACATTCCTGAAAACAGCATCACAGAGAATAGGGAGTCAACATACGACGGTCGATTAGCTCAGTCATCAAGTCGATTAGCTCAGTCATCAAGTCGACCGCCCGATGTGTCAAGAAGTTCAAGAGACGTTCACTGAGGACACTTGAGTCTCTAATAAACCGTAACCACTAAAAAGGTTTCGAAATACTCTTTCCTAAACCCTAAACTCCTACTCCATAAGCAAAATGAAAACGAGCTTAGGTTTGAAATTGTCGAAATGTGAAATGGAAGGAATGAGTGTAGAACCTGGGACCGAAGTCTTGGAAGGAGTGCAGATCGGAGATGTTGACGATGAGACGGCGGCGCCGCTGGTCAATCATGGCCTTGATCTCGTTCTTGTATACCTAATCAATTCGGTCATTCATCGTCACTATTCCAATTTCCAACTCTATAAATTCCAAAAAAAAAAACCCCACAGAAATCGAAAGGGGTGGAGAGGGAACAGATAGAGACTTACATTCTGGTCCAGGAACTCGAGGAAAGCTCGTTTGTGACTGCTCCGGTCATCAAAGCTCGCCATTTCTTAAGCTCTTGGACTGAATCTAGGCTTCAACGCAACAGAAATTACAGAGTTTCGCGCCTCAATCGAGTAGAAGGAGAGAGAGAGAGAGAGAGAGAGCACAGTGGTAGAAGTGCAAAATGTGGCCCTACTGTTTCGTGCCCTAGTTGCTGGGGAATGGAAGGTCTCGACTCTTGAGCGGGTAATGAGCGTGAGTTTGGCGGGAAAAATGTACTATTGGCGGGGAAACTGAACGGGCCTCATCATAACAGTTGGGCTCTTTCAGAATAATAATCTTAGAATTGGGCTTCTTCTAGCGGAACACGACTGACGGGTGATGGTGGGTCCACCCGAATCCACCCGATTATAACCCACCTATTACATATTTAGGGGATATGGTGGGGGTGTGGCATGTGGGTCATTATTTTTTTCACCCATTAAATTTGGATGGGTGGCGACTGACGGGTGGGTAGTAGATGGGTTATTAACTGCAAAATCACATTATATATTAAGTCATTAATGCACATTCTATAATAAAAACATATTTTTTTCTTATCTCAAAACTTAATCGTGATTTATTCAATTTAACTATAATGACTATAGATTTTACTTGATTTATAACATAAAATCATTTATTTTAAAATATGATAACTATCAATAAAATATTTTGTTCTGATAAATGGGATAATTGGTTTTAGTTCATGCAATAAACAACGTTTAATGGCTATAAATTTTATTGATTTGTAGCATTGATATTCGATTATTTTTATGCAAACTTTTATTGCTCATATTATCTCATCCGTAAAAATAATTTGACCCACCAAAACCGTCAAACTCACCCACCATTCGCTGTTACCCACCCATTACGATATAGATGAATTGGTGTGGGTCCATTTTTCATCACCCACCGTTAATAATACATTGCCCATCCCTACCTGCTAAATAATGCCTATTCAACACTTAAATTAGATTAATAATTAATCTTCAAGAAATATTCCAAATATTTTTTTATAGATATCCCCAAAGGAGAACAGCAGATACAAAATATCTAATCCTTTGTAGGTCAAAATCACAAATAAAGAAAAGACCTTTGCAGGTCTGACAATAATAGGGCTTTACTATCATGATATGGGTAGCCCTATGATACCTAAACGACACGGGTAATATCATGATTACTTTCCTTGATAAAGGATCAAAATTATAAACTAACCATGTTGAAAATTGAAGCAAATGAGCAAATCTTTGTAGATCTGGCGGGTCTGACTCACATTTAGTATAAACAGCGTTATACTAAATGTAGGATTGAGCAATTTAGCCCGAAAGATTCACCTACATAACAAAAAAAAAAAGAGTAAAAACAATTTAATATACAAACCTTTCATTTTAAACAATATAATAAACAAACCTTTTCGAAAACAATTTAATATCCAAATCGTCAACTTTTTGTCTGTTTGACCGTTAGTTGACACTTCAAAAAAGTTCGAAGTACGACACTTCATCAATATCCATCGGTATCTTCTCTAAAAAACCACCAACATATTGTAGTTCCAAACTCGAGAAGTCCATGACTCCACCATGATGGTATAGAATATCTAAATATTCAGTCATCTGCAATGCCTAAACAAGAAAACAAAGTTGTATTGTGACAATTTCCCATAAACAAAGCTTTTTTGAAGTGTCAACTAACAGTCAAACGAACGGAAAGTTGACGATTTGGATATTAGATTGTTTTCGAAAAGGTTTGGCTATTATATTGTATAAAATGAAAGGTTTGGATATTAAATTGTATTTACCAAAAAAAAAACACATACCCAAATATTAAAATCTTAGGGATTTCCTAAGGTAACTTGAATTTTTTTACCTGCTATAGCAGGTTTTACAGGTCACATTACGTAAAATACAATAGGCATTACGTAACGATTACGTAACGTATAGTAATCTTACGCAATAGTTGTAAAAGGTCATTACGGAAGCCTTACGAAATAGACGGTTATTTTACGTAATGAATACCAACATTGCATTACGTAAAGTGTAAAGTCGTTACGGAAGTCTTACGTAACGCTGGTGATTTAACTGTTACGTAAGAAATAATTGTCGTTACGTAACTTTTACGTACTGTAAGGTCATTTTCCGTAATGAGTATTAACCTCGTGTTACGTAAAGTGCCAAGTTATTACGGAAGCCTTACGTAACGCTTCTGATTTAACTGTTACGTAAGAAATAACTATCGTTTCATAACCTTTACGTAATGGATGTGTATTTTACGTAACAGTTGTAAAATGTCGTTACAGAAGCCTTACGTAATGGAAGATCCCTTTTACGTAATGAATATTAACCTCGCATTACGGAAAGTGCTAAGTCACTACGGAAGCCTTACGTAATGCTCCGATTTTTAACTGTTACGTAAGAAATAACTATCGTTCCATAACCTTTATTGAATGTATGTGTATTTTATGTAACAGTTGTAAAAGGTCTTTACTTAAACTTATAAGCCATTACGAAAGGTTTAATAAACCACTTTACTATATGTTATGTTTTATAAGTAAAATGAATAAACGGTACCGTGTATATAAAAAAAAAACACCTGAAGCAAAATTGACGGGATAAAAAATGATATCCTCAAACTTTTCCAATTATTTCGACCCGTAAAAAATGGAAAGAATCCCAGTCCCCACTAGATTTCCAGCTAGCCGGTTGCCATTATTTTCTCTTTTTCCATTTTTTCCATTTATTTTCTAATCGATGGTTTAAAATCCTCCACACTCATTTAAATGGTTTAGATCTTGTCACCTAACTTGAAATTAAGGGTAAGTTCCTGTAGTGAATCTCTAAAATTGTATCGATCCATAGAAGTTAAGGTAAACTAAATGGTCAGCCGAAATTGTTTCCCTTTAAGAGCATTCATTTGAAGTCCCTTCTAAAAAAAAGCATTCATTTGAATCATGAGAATTGATAAGAAGATAACAAAACATAGCAATTCTACTATACTATAAAGTATTGGTGTTTTAATGTATAATTTGAAATTGTACAATAACGTTAAATGTATAAGTTCAGGTTATATCATAAAGAAATTTGTACCCTTATGTTATGATAAAGTTGTATTATCACATAATAAATGTACAAGTTCAAGTTGTACCATAAAAGAATTTGTACAAAAAAATATAGATCAATATAAAGTTGTACCATAACGTTAAAGACACAACTTTAAGTTCTAAAAGCAAAAGCCTATAGCAATAGCACCAATGCTATATAACATTGTAAAATTCCTCAACAAAATATGGGTATCTCGTTTAAAAGAGAATTACTAGAGATAAATATTTTATTCAAAATGAATAAACAAGTTATTACATAATAAATTATTAAATTATATTAAAAAATTTAAGGTTCTCACTTATAGTTAAAATATGAGTTAATAAGAATAAAATAATAATTTAAATAAATTTACAACATTTAAATATCTGTCCTAAATATCTGTCCTACATTCATTAGTGAAGGCATCCTTAAAAAATTGAAGACCATATCAATTAGTCTTCCATCTTACAAATAAGAAAATTAGATCAAGAAGGAGACAGATCAAATTGACCAGAGTACTCATACTCTTATTCCTATTTACATGATGGGTATTTCTGCTTCGAAACAAGCAAACAAATAAAATGAAATAAATGGCAGTTCACTTGCTTCGTTCCAAGAGTGGACAAGGTTGGGATGAGATCACGTGTACACCAATTATCGATGATGATGTGTTTGAAGACCTTCTAAAGGTATGAAACAAAATTGTTGTATACAATCAATGCCTAATCTTTGGTTTTTTATTCTAACTCATTGCGAATAGCTGTGTTTGCTCCCCTAGGTGCATCCTAACATAAAAAACCTGAACAAAGTGCCTTTTCCCTTCTACAACGACCATCTTGAGATCTTTGGGAAAGGTGGGACAGCAGCTGGAAGAGTTACATGTGGTATTTGTGACGGACCACCATCTCCTAAAAATCTCCTGCATATGGAAGGCTTTGACACACCAATTGATCTAGATGACCAGAGATGCACAGAGATACTATATGACATAATCAATGAGGGCATTGATATGCAACATCCAACTGCCGTGGAAGCTGAAACACAAGCCACTCCAACTACTCAGAAACTTCCATCTAACCCCAAAAGTGGAGCTGGCAGCATCCAAACAACTAAGAAAAGGGCTAAGAAGAGTGAAATGACAACTGATTCAGCTATAGCTAATGTGTCCTCTCAACTTGGTGAGTTGAAGCCAATATTATTCAAAGTTGTGGAAGCACTTGGATCCATAACAAGTGAGCGAAGTGAGCGAGATGGTGACAACAGCAAGCAGGCTGCCTTGATCAAGGAGATAGGCAAGATTGATGGACTCACGCGTGGCCAAGTCATTGATGCTGCTATGGCTTTAGTAGACAATGATCCAAAGACTAGACTTTTCTATGCATTGGAAAGCGATGAGGACCGATGCCACTTCATCAAGAATCTGCTACGCTGATTAGGCTTGTGTATGAACTAGTTGGTACTCTATTTTGCAGAACACATGTGGTATGGATGTGAAACTTTTGTTTTTTGCAAGGTTAGATCATCCTAGATTTGGCTGTTGCAAGTGTTGGTGGTGGACACACTGTCATTTTGCTGAAGTTTCATTACATCCCAGCATGTGTTGTTAATGTTTCAAGGATTAGAGTTGTATTCCCAGAGTTCGTAGGAGTATACAAGCTGTTGAACTCTTTTGTAGCAGGCTGTATTTTGCAGGTCCATTGTGTAACAATGTTGATGAATTTCTCCATCAGTAAGCAACCTGGATATTTCAGTTAACAATGTCAATGAATTTCCCCACCAACATGCTTGTTTAAAGAGAATCCCAGATTAAAAGAACAGATATTGTTTTCATTCCAATTCATTGACAACACAGTACATACTAATCTTACACATTCATAACTGAACTGAAATAACATGGAATACAACAACATGATCTACTTCCAATCATTTCCTACTAGTACCCTCTAACTCTAGACGTTGTACCCTCTACTTGATGAGTTATAGCTCAACAGCAAACTCGTTCTGTTGATGTTTTCCAGATCCATCTTTCATTACCCTCTGTAACAAACTGCGTAGCTCCCTATTTTCAGATTCCAACATCGAAACCATTTCAGACAGCGGTGCAGTTGCTTTGAATACCGCAACTCTAATGTCAAACCACTCAAAGTAATCACATGATTTGTTATCCTTTGAGCGACTGAACAGGGGGCATCCAAAAAACTTGCGGTTAGGGTTACCAGCAGTACGAGAGATTCTTCTAGCCGCCCTCAGCCCGCAATAACAGAGAACCTCTTCCTCCTCATAATAGAATGCATCTGGAACGGTCACAATCTTCCCTTTACTTTCCATGAGATGACTGGATTTGCTAATTGAAATCCCCACTGCCATCAAAGGAGAAATCGAACTCGAAATGAAGAATCAAATGGGAAAAGCGAAATGGAAGATGGTTCAAACATACCTTCTTCCGAACCAAACAGCAACACCTTGTCGTTGCCTCTGCAGATGCGTCACAATTGGAGAAGTGATGGTGAAGAAGAGTCTTTCGTGGGGGCTTATGAAGAAGGAAAGAAAACAAAAGAGTCAGAGCCTGTTTTTGGGTAGCTTAACAAGGGTAATAAGGTAATTGAACCTTTTCAGTTATAAATCTAAAATCATCAAATCCATGATAAAAATAGGTCAACAAATAAAGGATTTCCTCAAATCCATAATGCCTAAAATCCCTAATAAATCCCAAGGTTTTTAATTAGCAAATTCATGACAAAATCCTCGTTATAAAATGGGTTAATACCTTATTTTGGCCTGAACTATGACCATATAATCAACTTTGGCCCGTGGTTTCATAAATTAACATCCTGGCCTCAACTATGTAACATATAGACTCAATTGGCCCGACACAGAGTTTGACCGTCGATTTGGATGGTCAACACCATTGACCGTTAGTAAACACGCCATGTCATTGCCTCATCAGCCTAAAAATCATTAAAAAATTATAATTATAATTCTGATTATTTTTCTAATTTTTATTATTTATTATCAAATTAACCAAAAATAAATTATAAAAAACATAAATAAATTTAATTATATAATTTTTGGGTAATTTGAAAATGATAATAAAAATAGTGAATGCAAAACAGTAAAAATATCTCACCCAAAACTAGCAATTTCTCTCTCTTCTCTCTAGGTTCTCGTCCTGAAATCGGAATGGCGGCCTCGTCGTCGGACTCTGCTCCGGCGACGGGCCAGGTCTTGGGGGGTGGATCCTGGGCGCAATTGTTTGACATTGCTCCTGAGAATCGGATGAAGTATCGTCCTCCGGAGCGCGTCAACGATGGTTTTCGGCTCCCTCGGGAGGTCAAAAAGAAGGGGGAAGAGCGCTGGAAAGATTGCTTAATTGGGCAATTCGTCGGCGCTCAACCAAAAGTGGCGCAGCTGCAACTCTGGGCTACTTCAATTTGGGGGCGGGATGGGACAATCCGGGTGTCCAGGTTTGGGCCTCGAATGTTCGTTTTCCAGTTTCCTTCCGCAGCTACGAGCAGATGGGTTTTCAAATCGGGACCATGGCATTACCAGGGGAACCAGCTCTATCTACGGAAGTGGTCGCCAGGGATTCAACCAGTAGCTCCTCAGGTAGAAACTCTTCCTATCTGGGTTAATATCTGGGGAATTCCACTGGAATATCACTCGCTGGATGGATTGGAATGGGTTGCTAGTACTATTGGGCCTCCTCTCTGGATGGATAAAGCCACTAGGGTGGGGGGGCAACTGGGATTTGCCAAGGTGTGTGTTGATCTGGCTGCAGACTGTGGTTTTCCTTCAAGGATCCGTCTATATCCTGATGATGACCCAGGTTTTGAGGTTGAAATTGAGTATCTGAATTTGCCTAGAGTCTGTCCTATGTGTGCTGTTTATGGTCATGACTGTTCTTTTCTGGCCAAGAGTAATAAGAAATGGGTTGTAAAGAAGACTGAATCTCCTAAGGAAACTGTTGTGGTGTCAGAGGTGGTGACTGATGTAGCACCTGGGGGTAGTCCTGAGCAGCAATTCGAAGCTGAAACTGAAGCGAATCAGATCATAGTTCACTCTGTGGTTAGTTCAGTACTGGATGATAAGATACAGCAGGTGGAGGGTGGTGTAAGAGCAAAGGGTAATGCAAGTTCCTCTATTCCTCCATTAAATGGGAATGCAACTGCAAGGTTTGTGGATGTGGTGGTAGGACCATCAGCTGATGCTGGGAGTCCTAGTGCCCTACCACAGCAGTCTGCTGCCACTAGTTCACCTGGTTCAGGGAAGCTTGTGGCTCAGACTCCTGAAGTTGTTAAAGAGAAGAATCCCTGGATAACTGTTGGGTCTAAGAAGAAGCCTAATACACCCCGAGATGCAGAGCCTGCTCCTCTTCCTCGTAAAGGGGGGAGAGCTGGTAAGAAGAAATGAAGATACTCACATGGAATATCCGGGGGTTTAATGACCCGGATAAAAATAAGGCTGTTCAACAGCTAGTCAATAGATATAATACAGATATTATAGTTATACTAGAACCTAGAGTTAGAAGTAATAAAACATATGATTTAATAAAAAGAAGGTTCTCTGGTTGGCAGTCAAAGGTAACACAGAATGCTGCTGGCTTGGGGAAGATATGGATTCTTTGGAAGGCTGATGTAAATCTGCAGGTGTTACAGGCCTCAGAACATTTCATTCATGTCTTGGTTGGTTCAGGGGTTCCATTCTTTCTAACGGTTGTCTATGCCTCCAATGAAGAGGCTGACAGAAAGGTTCTTTATTCAGATTTGGTTAAATACCAAGTTAATTCTATTCCTTGGGCTGTCCTAGGTGATTTTAATGCAATTGGAGACCCATGTGAGGCTTCTAACAATCCCCAACCCTCTCTTAGTATGTCGGATTTCAGGCAATGGCAGTTTGATTGTGAGCTGGAAGAGCATAAGACTTCAGGGCCATGGTTCACATGGATGAATAAGCAGCAAAGTAATCCTATAGCCAGGAGACTTGACAGAACTTTCATTAATGCAAAATGGCTGACTGATCTGCCGATGAGTACAGTGGATTTACTTGACCCCTCAGTGTCAGACCACTGTCCTATCCTTCTAAACTCAGACTGTTCAGTGAAATCTCTCCCAAAAATGTTTAAGTTCTTCAAATTTTGGGTTCAACATCCTCAGTTTATGGACCTGGTTAAGCAGGCTTGGGGCTCCCATGTTGAAGGTTCTCCTTTAATTCGAGTTTGTCAGAAGCTGAAGATCCTGAAAGGTTTGCTTAAGAAGTTGAATAAAGATGTGTATTCTGATTTGGGTGTGAGAGTCAAATTGAAAGCTGCTGAGTTGATTTTGGCTCAGGCTGAAGCACTCAAAAATCCATCTCCTCTTACTTTTGAGGCTGAGATCCGAATTTCAAAGGAGGCAAAAGAGCTTAGAGAGGCTGAAGAGTCATTCTTAAGACAGAAATCAAGAGAGATTTGGTTGAAGGAGGGAGATGCAAATACTCCCTATTTTCATAACTCAGTCAAGACCAGACAAAAGAGAAACATGATAAGATCCCTTATTGATGACTCTGGTCAAAGGGTTACAGATCTTGAGGGTATGGCAAATATTGCAGAGGGTTTTTATAAAAAGCTGTTGGGTGAGGAAGATAGGGAGGTTGTCTCATCTGATGTTGACCAAATCAGGGATTTATTGATGAAGATATTGCAACCTGCTCAAGGGGATGCCCTGTGTAGACCAGTTACTGCAGAGGAAATAAGAACCACTATGTTTGGATTTAATGGGGACAAGGCCCCTGGTCCTGATGGATACCCAGCCTGTTTCTTCCAGGCTACCTGGCAAATTGTGGGGGCTGAGGTAACTGCTGCTCTTCTTTATTGCTTTCAAACCTCTAGCATTCCAGTCTGTGTTAATTCAACACTTCTAGCTCTTATCCCAAAAGTGCAGAGTCCTGAGGATATGAAATTTTTTCGCCCAATTGCCTGTTGTAACATCCTATATAAGTGTATGGCAAAGATCCTAGCAACTAGACTAAGTTCAGTCATGCCTAGTGTCATAAGTGAGTCTAAGACTGCTTTTGTTAAAGGTCGGACTATTGGTGAAAACATCTTACTTGCTCATGAATTGGTTCAAAAGTATGGTAGGAAAAATATCTCTCCTAGAACCCTTGTTAAAGTTGATCTAATGAAGGCGTTCGATTCTGTTGACTGGGGATGCTTGTTCAAAGTACTTCAGGCTATGGGGTTCCCTCAAAAATTCCTTGTCTGGTTAAGAATGTGTGTCACAACCCCAAAATTTAGCATTGGTTTTAATGGTGGCTCAGTTGGATACTTCCCTGCAAAAAAAGGGTTGAGACAAGGGGATCCCCTTTCTCCCTACCTTTTTGCTGTAGTTATGGAACTTTTTTCTTGCCTAATGAATAGGGCTGTTCTTAAGAACTCTATGCCTTTTCATCCTATGTGCAAAAGGCTTAAGCTCACCCATCTAATGTTTGCGGATGACCTGTTACTATTTTCTGATGGCACGAATTTTGGGATTCAATGTATCAAGAAGGTTCTGGCAGAGTTTAGATACATGTCTGGCCTCAGATCAAATCCCTCCAAATGTGAGCTCTACTGTGGGGCATTTGTGAACAGTGGCAGGAGCTGATGTCTCAGCATTCAGGTTACAAATTGGGATCACTCCCAGTTCGTTATCTGGGACTTCCTCTACTTCCTGGTAAACTAACAATCAAAGCCTGCAAACCTCTTATTGATAGAGTCATGAGTAGAATAAATAGCTGGAAATCAAAATCACTATCTTATGCTGGTAAAATTCAACTTGTGATCTCTGTTCTGTACAGTCTTTCCCATTTTTGGATGTCGATCTTTATTTTACCTAAGGCTGTCATCAAAGCAATAGAAAAAGTGTGTAGTGATTTCCTGTGGGGGTTGGAAATGGTGCTAGGAAGAAAGCAGTGGTTGCTTGGGGCAGAATTGCTTTTCCTAAAAAGGAAGGGGGACTGGGATTAAGGGATATGAGCACTTGGAATCTTGCTTGTGTTGTAAGGCACATATGGGCTGTGTTGCTCAGGCAAGGATCTCTTTGGGTTGCTTGGACCTGGGAATATCGGATAAAAGGGTTAGATTTCTGGAATCTTTCCTCAAAAGCTGGATCCTGGCTTTGGCAGAAAATATTGAAGATTAGGGATAAGGTCAGGGGTTGGTTTTCTGTTGCTTCTGATGGGGTCTATTGGAAGGGTGCATTAATGTCTAAATTCTGCATCAGGAAAGTTTGGGAGGAGTTTCGTCCCAAAAGAAGCCCTGTCTCTTGGAACACTCTGATCTGGAAAGGGCCAAATATTCCAAGGAACCAGTTCTTGGTTTGGCTTGTGGTCACTGATTGTATTTCAACTGGTGATAAAGCTCAGGGATGGGGAGGACCAGGAGATTATGGATGTGTATTTTGCTCGTGCAATTTGGAAACGAGATCTCACTTGTTCGCTGAATGTTATGTGTTTAAACAGATGTTTGCAGCTCTGTTTGCCAACTTTGCAGATAGAACACCTGGGGATCAATGGGATACTGAGCTTCAGTGGGCTATATCTGCTTTCAAAGGCTCTACAGCCTTAGCACAGACTGGGAAGTTAATTTGGCAGGCTTTGATTGCTTCAATCTGGAGAGAACGTTGCTCGGTTAAGTATGCAGGGCGGCAAGCTGATATCCAGGGTCTGACTATGAGAATTAAAGGGGATATAAGGGTAATGGCAGATTCAGAAATAGTCTGTTTGTATCTCTGAGTTTCTGCTTGTAGTTCCTAAGTTGCTATTGGCTTGTTTACTTTAGTCCCATGGTTCTGCTGTCCTATGCTCAGCTGGCAGAGCTGTTGCCAGCGTTGTAACTGGTGATTTTTGATGAAATGAAACTCCACCCGATTCATCAAAAAAAAATGATAATAAATTTTTTAAATTTATAAAATATAATTCGATAAATTTTTGTTAATTTATAAAATTTATCATTTTCAAATATCCCAAAAAATAAAATCTAAATTTTATTTAATATTTTTGAAATTTTATATTTTGGTTAATTTGAAAATGATAAATAATAGAAATTAGAAAAATAATTTGAATTTGAATTTTTTTAATAATTTTTAGACTGACAAGGCAATGACATGGCGTGTTGACTAACGATCAACGGTGTTGACCGTCCAAATGATGGTCAAACCATGTGTTGGGCCAATTGAGTCTGTATGCTATATAATTGAAGTGAGAATGTTAATTTCTGAAACCACGTGCCAAAGTTGATTATATAATCATAATTCGAACTTATTTAACCCTTATAAAATCCTTGAAGCAAACAACCCCTAAATCACCTCCCGCACACTCTAGGTTCCAACAAAATATGGGTATCTCGTTTAAAAGAGAATTACTAGAGATAAATATTTTATTAAAAAATGAATAAACAAGTTATTACATAATAAATTATTAAATATAATTAAATTATTAAAAAATTTAAGGTTCTCACTTATAGTTAAAATATGAGTTAATAAGAATAAAATAATAATTTAAATAAATTTACAGCATTTAAATATCTGTCCTACATTCATTAGTGAAGGCACCCTTAAAAAATTGAAGACCATACCAATTAGTCTTCCATCTTACAAATAAGAAAATTAGATCAAGAAGGAGACGGATCAAATTGACTAGAGTACTCATACTCTTATTTCTATTTACATGATGAGTATTTTCTGCTTCGAAACAAGCAAACAAATCAAATAAAATAAATCAGTTTGTTATTAGACATAAAAAAGTTAAATCACCCCCCGCACACTCTAGGTTCCAAATGTGTAAAATATAGACAACTACAACAGTCCTACTGCCAATTGACTCTTCTTCCGCCCGCCTATCTTCTCCCTTGTGTCCGCCCCCCTCGTTCGCATCGCCCCCATTGCTGAGATTCTCACTTCTCCCTTTCTCCTATGTCATCCGCCATGCAAGCTCTGCAATCCCCTTCTTCTCTCCGCCCTTCCCCACTCCAGCCACTCCAACGGAAATCCCGCAATGCGACCCGCCCCGCATTCTTTTCCCAGAGGAAGCTCCCCGTCATCACCGCCTCTTCCAATGTCTCCGCTTCAGCTCCCAAGCGGGAGACTGACCCGAAGAAGCGGGTTGTAATCACCGGCATGGGATTGGTCTCTGTATTCGGCAACGATGTGGATGCTTACTACGAGAAGCTGCTTGCTGGGGAGAGTGGGATCACTCTAATCGACCGCTTCGATGCGTCCAAGTTTCCGACCCGGTTTGCCGGCCAGATCCGGGGTTTTACTGCTCAGGGTTATATCGACGGGAAGAACGATCGGAGGCTTGATGATTGCTTGAGGTATTGCATTGTGGCAGGGAAGAAGGCCCTGGAAGATGCGGATCTTGGTGGGGATAAGCTATCCAAGGTTTGCTTTCACTGTTCAATTGAAATGTGTTGTCTTTTTTTTTTTTTTTGGACTCCTCAATTTTGCTGTGTAGGGTTTTGGCGGATTTGGTTGTTTTGCTTGGTTGGGTTATCGTTTCTTCTGGTTGTAAGCTATGGGGAGTTTTCTGTGTGTTGGTTTTGGGATCTGAATTTGGCCTTGATTGGTAAGTGTAGAATGCAAGTGAGCTTGGATTAGTCTTGCTATCTTCCGATATAAGCAGAATTCTCTATGAATTAGGATCTACGAGTGAAGGGAAAACAATAAGTGCATAGGACAAAAAGTTACAAATATATAGTATCGCCATCTTTCTTGTTAAAATTTGATTCTCTCTTTTGATCCGGTTTCATTTGGCCTCTGGAAATTATGCATTGCAGATCGACATGGAGAAAGCTGGTGTGCTTGTTGGAACAGGGATGGGAGGTCTAACTGTCTTTTCTGACAATGTCCAGACTCTAATTGAGAAAGGACACCGGAAAATTAGCCCATTCTTCATTCCTTACTCCATAACAAACATGGCTTCGGCTCTGTTGGGGATTGAGCTTGGTTTCATGGGGCCTAATTACTCCATTTCAACAGCATGTGCAACTTCTAATTACTGCTTCTATGCTGCTGCAAACCATATCCGCCGGGGTGAGGCTGATTTGATGATTGCTGGTGGAACTGAAGCTGCTGTTATTCCTATTGGGTTGGGAGGATTTGTGGCATGTAGGGCCTTGTCTCAGAGAAATGATGACCCGAAAACTGCTTCAAGGCCATGGGACAGAGATCGAGATGGTTTTGTCATGGGTGAAGGTTCAGGAGTATTGGTAAGTTGTCATTCATTGGTATCTGCTATCCTTCTTTCTTCACTAAAAACTTTTCATTTATGAACTTCAAACTAGATGATGATGATGTAGTAATACTAGCTCAAAATTTAAAAGAGCTTAAGGATTAATCTTAAATGTGCTGCAGATTATGGAGAGTTTGGAACATGCCATGAAACGTGGGGCACCCATCATTGCTGAGTACTTGGGAGGTGCTGTTAACTGCGATGCTTATCATATGACTGACCCAAGAGCTGATGGACTTGGAGTTTCTACTTGTATCGAGAGAAGTCTCGAAGATGCTGGTGTCTCGCCTGAAGAGGTGACAAGTTCCTTCAACTTCTCTCTGAAAATCAATATTACTGCAGTTATAAGAGAAATAAATCACTCTTTGTTGTGGCTCCATTTAGTCCTCTTTGCTCTTATTGCCTTTGTTTGTTGGTTTCTTTGGCATATTGTGGGTGTGCATTGGTAAATGGTAACTGGCAATGATTCCTAGTTTGGCAATAGTTTCCCACTTATATCAATGTTCAATCTTCCTTTTGTATTCTGACTTTTGGAGGATGATGAAGCTGAAAATTCGGTATATGAATACATGGAAAGAGGCTGATCTTGCTTGTTAACTGTACGAGTACAGATAGCTTACAAAGTTTTTGGCTATGAGCTTGCTAGAATCAAAATGAATTGACATGCCTTTTCCTGTGGTTCTTTCTAGTAATCTACCAGTAGGAAAGCCCAGGAAGAGCATATTCTTGACTGATTAGGTTGTTTGTTTGCCTATTTTCTAACGCCATCATGTTTTGCTTCTCAGGTCAACTACATAAACGCTCATGCGACCTCGACTCTTGCTGGTGACCTTGCGGAGATAAATGCTATAAAGAAGGTGTTTAAGAACACTTCGGAGATTAAAATCAATGCAACCAAGGTAAACCTTTTGTCTCCTTTTTTTTTGTGATAATCAAGGTAAACCTTTTGTCTCCTTTAAGATTGGTTTATCCTGGAAGTTCTTTTGGCTTCTCTGAACTTGGTGTTTTTTTTGGACAATCTATTTTGTGAGGTTGTGCTGCTAAATCAGTAAATCTCACTTCTTGCCTTTTGTTTTTGTCATTCTCAGTCCATGATAGGTCACTGTCTTGGTGCTTCTGGAGGTTTGGAAGCAATAGCTACCGTGAAGGCTATCAACACGGGATGGCTACATCCTTCCATTAACCAATTTGTATGTGGTATTATTAGTCAGTGTTCTTTGTGCTAATAGCTATATGAACATCTGAGTTTTGCTCTCTAGGTCTTTTATGAGGTTAATGAACTGAAATCTCTCGTGTGTGTAAAACCAGAATCCAGAGCCTTCAGTCGAATTCAACACAGTACCCAACGAGAAGCAGCAGCACGAAGTGAACGTTGGTAAGACAGCTAGACCCTTTGAACAATGATCACCGCACTTACTCTCTCAAGTGAGAGGATCTAAAACCACTCTGGTTGTTCTTTGCAGCCATCTCAAATTCCTTCGGATTTGGCGGACACAATTCAGTTGTGGCGTTTTCGGCATTTAAGCCCTGAGAGTAAAGCTGGAAGCTCGGAGAAGACTGGGAAATCTGCAGTTGTGGTTGTTGTTGAATGATTTTGAGGACAGATCTACTAGGCTAAGAAAGACTTAGTGTTTACAGAAATGGTTCAGGTTTTTTGCATTTGTAATTTTTGCTTCTAAACTATTTCCAACTCCTTGCATCCGGCCTTCGTGTAGCATGAGTTCTTGATCTGTAGCTGAGTTATTTGTAGCAGAACCAGCAAGAATTGAGCCCTTGTTTAGTATCAGAAGATAGCTAAGTTATTTTTCCTCCTTTGTTCTTCAAAAACATTATTCACATGACGTAGTTGGAGTGTTCACACCACATACTCCAATATTTAGTGTGAATATCCAAACCACATTACACAAATACTGAAATTACATTATACAAATACTGAAATTACGGGTTCGTTTGGAAGTTGTGATTGTTAAATAGATGTATTGTTGAGAATGCATGTATAATATTATACATGTATTGTCGAATTTGATGCATTGTAGAATACAATGTTTGGTATGTGTGATTGTGTATGTCGCATAAGCTAAAAGCTGAGACAAAACAATCTCAACAATCACAACTAAAAGTAGAGATATAACAATCACTCAAAATAATTGATAGTTTTTGTCCCATCACAAAAACAATCCATGTATTGTTTCTGCTAAAAACAAAAAAATGATGCATTGTAAATAATACATGCATAATAACAATCTCAACAAAACAATCGCAACTTCCAAACGAATTACGTTATGTAAACATTATCAATTTACATTTGTCTTATTGGATTACAAAAAATATTTAAAGAAATATTTGTTTGATTATTTTCATAAAATAATATCTACTAGCTACAAAATCTAAAAAATAAAACAAATAGGGCGTTAGCTGTTAAGATGTTGTCTGAGTTTTGGGCTTTTGGTCTTTGACGTTAGCATCTTAACCACACTGATGTGCCCACTGGCCCAAACTCGAAGTGGCCGGGAACTGAGCCCAGTACCAGAACGTTTCCAGCTTCGCGCAAACGGTGTCGTAGAAGCACAAGCGGTTCGAATTCGTGGGTCGTGGCATTTATGCGTTACGGTTACGGACGAGAGACCAGGCACACGTGAGTCGTGACTCGTCACGAAGAACAGAAGGGAAAACGCAGAGAGAGCAAGAAAGGAAGAAAGAACGTCCATGGTGGCCAAGCAAGCTTCAACGTCGAAGAACTCCTCTTCTCCCCCTTCTTCTTCTCCAGCCTCCTCGGCTCCCGTTGAAACACCCACCTTCAACTCCTACAAGTAAGCTCCAATTCCCCTCACTCTGAGAATCCGACTTCACTTCGTGCAAAATTTTCCTTCCGTTCCCCCTCTTCTTTGACTGTTTGGCCGCCGAGAAAATCTTCGAATCACGAAGGTCGAGCGACCGATTATGTGATAATTCTTTGTTGCCTGTCTACCTTACTTTGCGCTGCTAAGAAGCATCAAGCGCTGAGAGCTGTCTCTGTCAATTTTTCTTTGGTTCCAGGAGAACGATGTTGTTCAGAATTAAATCTGACGTGAGGAATGCCTTAAGACAAGCTTCGTTGTGTAGCGAGTTCGAAAGGAAACTGAATGTAACGAAGTCGATAACGAAGAAGAAGCCGAAGATGCCGCCAAGCGCCTTCTTCATTCACAGGTGAGCCGCTAGCTTGCCCCATTTTCTTTGATTCTGTTATCTGTTTGGCATGAGAGCTGCTAGCTAGCACCCCCCTCCCAAGAAAGGCCTTGACCTAGCTGGTTTAGTGTTTTGCTTGTTGATTACATTGAGTCGCATGCTTATCATCGGTTGCTTCATTCTTTACTACTATTCTTAATACGCCAATGGAGAGCTGCAAGATATGATTCCATTGAGGGGGACTGTAGGGAATGCCTGGTTCATGAAATGGTCAACTGCGTCTGCTGGGTTGTTGAGATTTCAATGTTAGTGGATAGTCTGTAGGAATCTGAATTGAAAGCTCCATTTGATGTCTGTTTTGGACGATCTTGGATGTTCCGTATCATCATGATAAGGAGTGTCTCTCTCAAAATCCGCTCATTTATGTTGATTGGAGCATTTTGATAATTTCAATGGTTCGTGCTTTGGTTGAGCGGTTTTTACCCACAAGAAGTGATGAAGATTCCTGCACTATCTTCAGTCTTCGCTATGGCTCGATCGAACTGTCATTGTTTCTGTGCTGTAACTATTTCAGCTTGGTCTTTGAACTACGCTGAACTTGTTCTCTTTTCTGAATCTGTAGGGAAGATTTTCGCAAAGAATTTCATGAGCAGAACCCAGATGTCAAGTCCAGGGCGAGTGAGGTGAGTCTTTTGATGCACACTGGGTTGTTTCAAGTCATTTGTTTCCATCTTCTTTTGTGCTGCCCCTGATGCCATAGTCGATTGCTTTGCCATTTTCTGTTTCAGTTTGGCAAAGCATGCGGGGAGAAATGGAAAACAATGACATATGAGGTTTGATTACTGTGGCTCTTTGATTAATGATATGTTCTGTTCTCTTCTTTATTAATGTTGCTCTTTGATTAATGATATAAATCTGGCGACTAAACAATAGGTTTCTTTGTCATGAGAGGAAAATGCTCCTGCCATATGTTTTTGCTGTCTGTTTTCACTCTCCAGTCACATTGCTATTGCTCCAATTGTTCGATTGAAAGCATCTCCATTGGAATCATTAGAGGGAATTCTGTAGCCTCCCTTCTCTGGCTATTCTTAACCAAAGCTCATTTGTAGTCAGTGTATTCGAATCATGCTGCAGACCAAGTCCCATTCGTATTTATGGCAACAGCATTGCCGAACTGTTACACCTGCAAATTTGAAGCCTATACCAGCTCCATTACTTGCTTGGGCATCTGCTTGTAACTATAGAACCATTTACCATTCTTTCAGCTTCTGCTATGTTATGTTGATTGTTTTAGCATCCTCTGCAGCCTTTCCTTGCGCACATGCTGTCATGCTACTTCAGAATGACCTTCTAATGTTTTCTTTTCTGCCTGTTATAGGAAAAAGTCAAGTACTATGACATCGCCATCCAGAAAATGGCAGAGTTTGAAATTGCCATGAAGGATTACAGAGAGAACAAGGTAAACCATTCCCAGCTACCTCCCCATCTTAAGCAGATTCTAATGTCTATGATCTTAAAAAGGAATAATTTGCTGCAGGAATCTGGCGAATACGAGGACAGTGATGAGGACTCCGACTCCGACGATTACTACTAGGACTATGGTATTCAGCTACCAATCCTTGAGCAGGCACAAGCTATTAAGTACATGAGCACAGAAGTTATACATCCCTTTTGTGATCATTACCTTGTTTGTGTAAATGGGTATGTGATTCTGTGCATATGAGATATGACAACTAATTGGAACTGACATTGAAGTAAATGGGTTAATAGTTTTGTAGACAAGGTAAAAACCATGTCATTGCAGATGTCAAAACCTTGTCGATTCTGGAGTTAATTGACCCGAATTTAGTTACCTCTATCTCGATTCATGCCGTTTTATTCTGATCGTAAAGTTGTCCCTTTCGGTAGGGGGTTCATAGTAGTACATATCTCTCATCTATTGTAGCCGGCTACCCACACAATCCCCATGGATATTGAACACTACTACACTATTGTGTTACATTACGACGATTTTCTCGTCAGCTAAGCTACTTCTGTCAGCTGAGATGCCCAAAGAAGCTGCAATGCTTCTGACTTCTGCAATCATGGCAACTACATCGTTGAGCTTGTTAATGGCTGAGCCCACACCCTGCAATCACAGATACAAAAAAAACCGTTTTCGAGTTAATTCTCCTCCCCTGGATTACCATATCTGGGATAGAAGTGTTAAGAGCCGTGAGTCTAGAAATAACGACGCTGCTAGATACGTACCACACCAGAAGCTCCTGCTGTGATGGCCATGGGCGCCGTGACTGCACTGAGTCCAGATGAACACATCACAGGAATCTTCACTGCTCTTGAGATTGAGTATGCAGCTGCCAAGGTAGGCGTTGCCTGTATAACATGAGTAATCATCAATATATCATACCGCGATATTGGTTAGGCATAGCGAGCAGCATTATTACTTACTACCTTCTCAATCAAACCCAAAACACCAGATTTGGAAGGATTTGAGCATTTCCCTCCTTCAGTTTGTATAATGTCCACACCTTCCTGCTCCAACAGCTCTGCTAGCTTGATCTGTGCGGTCGATCATTCCACGAAATGGCTCAACGACGGGAAACGAATATCGCATACTAGTACTCTTCTATTGATTGAATTACCTGGTCAGGAAGGCTAAGTGTGTGAGGCACAGTGACTGATAATGGAACATAAGGAAGAATCCTCCTCGTCTCTGTTGTCAGGTTTAGTATCTGCAGGAGAAAAAAACGAACTAAAATTCAGGTGCTGATAGATGAAAGTATCTAACCTCTGAATGCAAATGATTAAAGTCGGCATGATATCAGAGCTTTCGACCGCGTTGGTTTCGTGCTGAAATAACATCAACAGTTAGAATCAACTACCTGCTCCGGAGAGAATACAATCCCAGCTTCATAAAACGAATCATAGTTTCCGATCTCCACCTGCCACCAACATCACAGGAAGATGGTTTTGTCAGCACAAATGTCTGGAAATTAAAGCAAATGCATCATTTTCTGTTCAAGAGATGAGACCATTGTTGCTCCAGCTTCAATGGCAGCCGGAAATGCTGCCGGATCTACAGAGGAGACACACACCTGCAAAGCAAGCAAGCACGATTTTACAAGTTTTAGCTCCACAGAAGAAATCTAATCAGATCAAATTTTCGCCCGTCAAGTGAAAAGCCATATTACCGGGAGAGAAGTTAGGGCAATTGCAAGCTTCACCAATTCAGGGTCGCAAGCTATATCCACATGCGTCGCTCCTCCCTGCAAAGCTTCTTTCAGTAAATGGGAGGGTTACATGATTTTGATAAACGGGACGAATTCTGGGTTTCCCCTGACCTTATCGGCGGCGGTGACAACCGAAGCGACATTGTCTCTGTTGAAGTTCTGGAGGCCAGTGATAATCTGAGCAAAAAAAAAAAAAAAAAGGAACCATCGACCGTTGAGTAAAAAGGATGTTGCATGTAGAGAAAAGGGTCTAAACAGAATTTCTTAAAGAACCTTGAGAGCTCTTCGTAGGTGGAAATCCTTCAACACCGCTTCTCTGGCGACGGGCAGCTGCTGGGCTCTGATGGCGGTGGTTGAAGGCGTGCTCCGCCGTCGAACGGGAGATGGCCTGGAAGCTAGCAAGTAACCGTGAAATGGGTTGGCGTTTGGGTTCAACGACGGCGATGATGGTAAACAGATTGATGGTTTCATTTTTTTCGTTTGCTCCGGTCTCTGCTTTACACTGTCTCTGACTCTCTGTAGGTGGAAAGGGATAAGAAGGGGGGAGAAGTAATGGATTTCCGGCTCTCAACCCGACAAAGAAATAGAAAGATAAAATCTTCAGGTGCTGAGGATTAATGGCTAGAGACACCATTATACTATTGGTAGATGACAAGAAGCCCCTCTACAATATTTTTTTTTATGGTTAATAATTTATTTTGATTCGAACTATACCTAAACTTTCTATTTTGATTCGTGATTTCTAAAATTGTTCCCCTGACCAGAATTATGCACCATACTTCTTTGTTTGGCCTGATACAGGTTTTGATCGTCAAATTAGACGGTCAACTCCATTAACTGTTAGTCAAGCGTCAAATTATTTTCCACGTAAGCGAACCTAAAATAAAAAAATTGGATTTATGAATTTTTGTAATTATTTTTGTTATCTATTTTTTTAAAATATTTTTTCGTTAATGTATTGTTATAAGAAAAAGAAAAGAATTAAATAAATTCAAAATTTTTATTCCGGGTTCGCTGACGTGGCAAGTGACCTGGCGCTTGACTAACGGTCAATGGAGTTAACCGTCCAATTTAACAGTCAAAACTCACGTCGGGCCAAGCAAGGAAGTATGGTAGATAGTTCGGGCTAGGGGAGCAATTTTAAAAACCACGGACCAAATTAGAAAGTTTAGCTATAGTCCGGATTAAATTAAGGTATTAACCTTTTTTTTAATGCATAAGCCTTTGTTTTGTATGAAGGATGAGGTTTTTGAGGAATGGGAAGAGGGGGATTAAGAAGGTCATTGATTGGGGAGAAAACGAATGTGGCTAAAAAAAATCCAAAGAGGGAAAGGGGTAGCCTGGCATCGGGTCACTCAGTTGCCGACTAGTCAAGCTGCTGCGGCGTGTTTGTCGCCGCCGGTTAGCCAGGATCATCAGCTGGAGTTTCCGCCATTGTAGTATCCTTATCTGTTTATTATGTTTAGTATCTTACTATCTTTTGTTGGAATTGCAAAGGGGCCAAAACCCCCAAATTTCTCTCTGTTTTCAAGAACTATAATAGAACCCATAGGCCTAATAACGTCATCATTGTGGAGCCTAGGATTAGCGGTGATGATGCAATCGACGTAATTAGCTCTATGGGTTTTGACAAGCATGAGAAGGTGGACGCAATTGGTTTCTCCGGGGGAATCTGGGTCATTTGGAATAGCTTTGAGCTGTCAATCTCTGTGCTCGACTCTGATTCTCAATACTTACACTTTAAATGTTGTGATCTGCAGAACAACAGGATGGTAACAATGATTGCCGTCTACGCCAAACCAAACATTTATGATCGTCGAGCGCTTTGGGACTCCCTTTGGAGTATGAACAGCTGTACAACTCTTCCCTGGCTACTCCTAGGCGATTTCAATTCCATTACCAGCCCCTCGGAGAGGCAAGGGGGAGCAGATTTTAACAGCCATAGAGTGGAGGACTTCAATAGGTGCATTGAGGATTGTGCCTTTGTCGATCTCGGTTTCACCGGGCCTCGCTTCACTTGGACGAATGGCCGTTTATCCCAACGCCTGGATAGAGCTCTCTGTAATAAGGAATGGCTACTTCACTTTCCTGAGTCATTCACCACTCATTTACTCAGACTCTGTTCCGACCATAGGCCTATTCTGGTTCGAATCAAGGCCCCCTCCCCAACTCACAGCAGCGGCCTTTCCGTTTCTTGGCTCCGTCTATCTCATGAGGACTTCTATCCTATGATCAATGCTTACTGGAAAAATGGTACAGATTTTATCCCCTCACTCCTGGAGCTGCAACACACCCTCCGTAAATGGAATAAGGAGGTTTTTGGTGACATCCTGAAAAGGAAAGTTGCTTTGTCCATAAAATTAAAAGACTTGGAGAAGCAGAATGACCAAGCCAACAACCCCTCCCTTATTCAAGAGGAGAATAAAACTAGGGAGGATTTGGAGAGGACTCTTTGGGAAGAAGAAGTACTTTGGGTGCAGAAGTCTCGAGCGAATTTTATCACGAGTGGCGACTGCAACACTCATTTCTTCCATGTCGCAACCTTGGCAAGACGCAGGCAGAATAAGATTCTAAGACTCCAAGACGATGAGGGAAGATGGATTGAAGACCCCGACATTCTCAGAAATATGGCTAAGGATTTTTACTGCAAGTTGTTCATGGAGGAAGAGCTAGGACAGATCTTGATCCCTGCTTTTTTTGCTACCATTGAGAGTGACAGACTCAAGGACATGGCACCCACCCCTCCTATTGTCGAATGGAGACACATTCTTTGGAGTATGGGGGGTCTGAAAGCTCCAGGGAAGAATGGCTTTCACGCCTGATTTTACCAAAAATGTTGGGAGACAATTTGCAAGGATTTCCAAGCGTATATGGTGTCGTGTTTTCAGGATCCCTCTCAGATCAGCCTCAGTAATGCTACGCTTCTTGCCTTGCTAGCCAAGGTGGAGAGCCCGGTAAACATGGCCCAATTCAGGCCGATCGGTCTTTGCAACGTGAGCTATAAAGTTATCGCTAAATGCCTAGCCAACCGTCTGCAGAAACTCATGCCTGATCTAGTGGATGAAACCCAAACAAGATTTGTCCCTAAAAGACACATCACGTACAATATAATCATCCTGCAGGAAGTCATCCACACAATGTCCTTGAAGAGAGGGAAGAAGGGCCTCATGGTACTCAAGGTCGATCTCGCTAAGGCTTACAACCGGATAAACTGGTCCTTCCTCCGAAGCACCCTTGAGGCGGCTCGACTTTCAAATGATTTTATTGAACTGGTCATGGCGTGTATAACCACTATCATCATCCAAGTCCTTTGGCACGAAAGCTGCTCTGAAGATTTTAAACCGACTCGCGGCCTACGTCAGGGATGTCCCCTCTCTCCTTACATTTTTACTTTATGCATGGAACGCCTAAGTCACTGCATTAAGGAATTGGTTGCTAGTGGTTCTTGGAATCCTATTTATTTGACCAATAATGGAACACCTCTAACCCACCTCTTTTTTGCAGATGATCTGGTGCTATTTGGAGAGGCTAGCGTCAGCCAAAGCTCGCTCATTTTGGATTGCTTAGAACGCTTCTGCTGGGCGTCGGGAGAGCAAATAAGCAAGGATAAATCTTGTATCTTCTTCTCCAAGAACACAACAACCCAGACCAAAAACAGAATCAGCCGGCAGATGGGTATATCCCATACTAACAACATGGGAAAGTATTTGGGTGTTCCCGTTATTCATGGAAGATTTACTCAAGGAACGTACAAGTACATATTGGAGAAGTTGGATAAGCGCTTGATAAAACTAGGGTGGACCTTTCTCAACCATGAAGATCAGTTATGGATAAAGATCCTGCATGAGAAATACGTGAAGCAGAACAATAATGGTTGTTCAGTGAGGTTCTGGCAAGATCCATGGTTGGCGGATGGCATCATTCTCCAAGATCACATTACCAGGGCGAGCCAGCTACCCAACTAGGATGCTTCAGTTGCCGACTTGTGCTTGGCCACAGGTGAGTGGAACTGGCCAAACATCCTGCCATTCGTCTCTCATGAACTCTCTACCCTTATTGCAGGTACGGATTCTCCAATCCCGGAGGCCGGCGAGGACATCCCGATATGGGGATTAGAAGATGATGGGAAGTTCCGTCTCCGGTCAGCTTATACGGCGGCAAGCGCTTGGCTAAAAGAGGAAATGGAGGAAGAGAATGAAGCCCAAGACAACAAATGTTGGCGGACAGTTTGGAAGTGGAGTGGACCGAACAGGATTCGCCATTTCCTATGGCTTGTCTTCCACAACCGTCTGATGACCAACTGTGAACGAAAAAGGAGGAAACTGTGCAGCTCGGACACTTGCGCCATCTGCAATACTGATCCAGAGTCAACAGAGCATTTTATTAGACATTGCCCTGAGGCAAAAAAAGGTATGGTAGCATCTGGGGATTAGTGATAACACACTTACCTGCGGCCTTGACTTTTCAGGTTGGATGATGGCTCATCTACGTGATGCAAATCACGGTAGGCTGTTCGGGGTGACAGCTTGGTACCTGTGGCGGCGGCGCAATGAGCGAGTCTTCAATAACAAATGGGAAGAGGCACACTCCCTTGCTTACCGAATCCAATGCTGGATAAGAACCATCCAACAAGCAATGGAGAATGACTCTCGTGCGCTGGGGAGAGACAACGTCAAGCAAAATCAGGAGCTGGCTTGGGTCCCTCCACCAGAGGGATGGATTGCAATCAACACGGACGGGTCAGTCAAACAACCTCACTCAGCAGCGGAGGCAGGGGGTCTTCTCCGGGATCACAGTGGCCGGTGTCTTGGGGCATTCTCGGCTAACTTGGGAGTATGCACAATCATGAAAGCAGAGATAAAGGGATCAATTCATGGGCTTCAAATGGCTTGGGAGATGGGATATAGGAAAGTTCAGCTTCACCTAGACTCTATGACAGCTTTCCTATTCCTCAGTTCGAACGATCAAGAGACGGGTAGATTCTACAACCTTCATTGCATGGCGCAACAACTTCTTCACAGAGACTGGGAGGTGATAATCTCTCATACTTATAGGGAAAGGAATAAAGCGCCAGATTTCCTCGCTAATAAGGCTCATTCTTGTAGTTTTGGTTTTCATGAGCTCAACTCTTTGGATCCAGGTTTGAGCTACTGGATTCTGTATGATTTTATGTGCATTGCCCAATCTCGATTAATCTAGTGCCAGGCAGGAGTGCCCTTTTAGCACCTCGTTTTTCACCCAAAAAAAATCCAAAGAGGTGTAAAAAGGATAAATTGTGAAAATATGAGTCATGATTCTAGGGTGTTGGGTTATAGATGTAGTATGGATGACGCTTAGTGTTCGTTTTGGAGCCTAACAAGTCAGATCATTTTGCTAGTGCAGTTTCAACATGTGTTAGTTATCGATATAAAACATATGGGGTCATTTGGATCTAGGTTTTGGGTGTGGGATTTGGTCACAATCGCGCATGGTGTGAGATTTTTTTTATCAAAATCACTCATTTGGAAAGCATTTATATGATAAGAAATTTTAAATATTATAGATTTCTGGGATTGTGAAATAGCTGATGGTCATCAGCTATTTTAAAATCCCACAATATTTGGTCATTTTGTTCCATGAATGTCCATGCTCCTTCTGTGTTAATCCTATTTTACCCTCCTCATTCTATTAACCTATCCATCAACCCATTTACCTGCAGTCAATCCAAAACAAAGAAAGGAAGCTCGACGAGCGTGTGGCATCTGAAGCGACCTCATCTGTGGCAACGAAGCAACAGTCGAAGGGTTCAGTAGCAGAGGCGTTAGGTCTGCTAGATCAAGTCATTTCAGGTTAGTTACTCTTCTTCGGGTTACAATATGGATATTTAGGGTTCTGTTCTTTCATTTTTTGCGTGGGTGTCAGCTTCTTCTCCTATAAGTTTGTACTATTGTTGGTTTTTGGGTTACCTGCGTAGAACCCATAACCTCACCGGAGCCAATTTGGGGCGGGCAAATAAACCGTTTCATTTACCCTTTCTCTTCTTTTAATTGATTTGTTGTTGTTTGATTCCCAAATGATGTAAATTTTTCAATGCCACCATCTTTATCTTCCTTCTCTATGCTTTTGTGTTGGGCTTAATTTATTGCTTGTTAGCTTGCTTGCTTGTATGTGTGACTCGCTATGGCACAACTCCTAACAATGGCTAAGTGTAACCAATGAAAGGGACTGCAGTATAGTGGTAAAAGTAATAAATATCGAATCCACGGGTCTCTAGAGTTACTATTACTCAGCTTCAGTTCATTATCTAGCAAACCAGATTAAGATGGAAGAACTAAAACTATTCTAACAAACTATAGTTAAAGTTAATCTAATTACAGGATGAGAACTCACTTAGGTATGATTCCCCCTAGCCACTAGACAGATTAATGATTGATGATCTCTAACCTGTTTCACTTTCATTCACAATGCGGAGAATCCTTAACTAGACATTGAATCTCGACAAAAGGATTAAGGCCCTCTTGAGTCAATTGCCTAGAGGGATGTATCCTTCTCTAGAACAACCGATCAAGGCGTTCTGAACTAGATTCCCTCTATCGAATGAGGTTCTCAATCAATACAAAGCATTGAATCAACCCTCGACTAAAGCAATCGATCCAATACTATCAATCTATGGTGCTCTATTGACCTAATCAGGTATTCGCTCTCATAGGATCAAAGCAGAATCAATAATCTCGACTAAAGCAGAATTGAATCATGAAAACATGCATAGGTTGAATATGAACTCAAGATTATCAAGTAGGACTACTCATACAATCATCCAATCAAACAAACATACTAGGGTTCCTCAAAACCTAAGTGAAGGGAAGTTACTCCATACAGAAGAGAGAGACTGCAGTAAGAATCTTCAGATGATCAGTCTTCAAGTCCGGGCTTGTTCCTCGAGCTTCCAAGGTGAAGAAATCCACCAATTCCACTCCAAGAATTCCCTCAAATTGCCCTATCTCTCTCTTTGGTTCGTCCCTTGGGTGTTTGGGATCCAAAACCCAGCTCCCCCTTGCAAAAACACACAAAACAGGCTTTTAACAGCCTGCGTTCGCGATCCCCAGTCAGAATACCCGGTCGGGTATTTTAGGTGGCGACCGGGGATCGTTGAAACGCACCGTCTAGGACAGGGAATTAATCCCCGATCAAGGTCAAGAATACCTGACCGGGGATTTATGCTCAATGCTCGGGCCCCCTTATGCTTCTCAAATGCCCAAAAGTGAAAATCCCCGGTCTGCTCAGATTAATACCCGGCCGGGTATTTTTGCTCATGGCCGGGTATTTTGCTCCTCCAGCACACTTCAACTCAAACGTGCTCCTTTCGACCCGAAACTCGTTTCTTCGCCTCGATGCCAACGCCAAGCCCTGAAATATGACATAAACACACAACCTAGCGTGAAATTGGCTTAAAACACGAGAATCAACATCTCAAATGGCTCAAGAATAGGGGTAAAAACATGTGCAATCAATGGTCTATTAAACTCCCCCACACTTAACCGTTTGCTTGTCCCCAAGCAAACCTAACTTAAAGCGATGCAACTCTTCAGACCTCTATAGCAACAAACAATCCCGATCGTCGGTAGAGGATTTCCTAGATCATATAGCTCCTTACGAGGTCAATTGGTCTTCTAAGACGTTCCCTATCTCTCTCAATGCGAGTACTAGACTCAAGCCAGGATCATGAGAAGAAATGGAAGTAAGACAGCCAATTCATGGATAAAGGGACTCACACCATTCACAACCAAGGACTCGTTGTACCGCGGTGCTCTTTCACTTCATTTCACCGTTGGAACCCCTTTTTTGCACTTTCATTTACTTTCCTTTTTTTTTCTTCATTCAATTAGCGGGGGTTGCAACTGCAGTCTTTTGCACGGTCGACCCTTATTAGTCATGCAAGAGCAATTTCTGTACATCTGGCGCTTGCCAGAGTACTTCTTTTAACTCCTTTTCCTCAACTCATGTGGAGGGTCAATGAAATTAAGGGGGCCGGAAGCTCTATCCGCGCCCTTAAAAACACATCCTCAAGTAGGCAAACCGTTCAACAGGTGAAAATTTTACTTGTACTAGAGACAACTTAGCTTCACCTTGTAGGAGTACCCCACTAAGGATCACTAAAATCTCTTCCAAAACCCGATTTTGTGCAATGAACGGTGCCACACACGTTGGGCTTAACCCATGTTTAAGATTTCAATGATTTCGACATGGAGGACCAACTGCTTTTAATTTCCCACATGAGCACCCTGTTCGATACACGAGTCCACAACACAATTCCAATGGAGTCACCATTACCACATGAATTCAACAGTCTTAGCTCCACTAATTCACAAAATCAACTGGCACAGCAGAGAGCTAGATAGGAAAAATCTTATACTTCAACATCCTCCATAGTGATACACTACCTCCATAGGTTTCACATTACTATAGAGACTGTCAATTAAAAGCATACTGAGCAGGCAATTTGCAAGGAACACGTACTTAGAGCTTTCAAATCGAAATTTGGACAGTGGACTAGGCTCCAAGCACACAAACAGCCAAACATTCACACGCATGCACAATCGAACATCCCCCCACACTTAAGCACGACATTGTCCACAATGGAGGAAAGATATGGAGGGTAGAACGAAGTTACCAGATCAAGGGTGAATGATGGTGGACGGGGCAGGCTGTGCATTCCAGGAGGAGAGAGTAGTCGGAACGAAAAACCCCACACAAAATCTCACAAAGGTTTAGTTATTGACTCTAAAATCAAAGAACAAAACTGACTCAACCGAGGAGAAAAAGAGAAAGAAATGCAAACCGACTGGTTGGGTTGCCTCCCAACAAGCGCTTCTTTCACGTCGTGAGCCGGACGATGGCTTCTAAGTTTCGGTCCACCCCAGAACCTCTTTGAAGTTGAGGTTCTCATCAATGAGGTGGAGTCTCAAGTCATGATCATGTGGTATGATAGGTGATGGAAGCTCGTGCACTTGATGCAGATGAAGTCTCCACCCTCGAGACCTCTTCTTCTCTTCTCTCGTCTCATTGCCCCAAACCAGATATGACAACATTGATTGACCACCATCGCGTCCACCAAGAGGGACCGATGTCGATGTGGCCTTGGTCTGGCAAAGAGACACTACAAATGGGTCCTTGCTAAGCAGTTCCTCGAAGTTTGGTGGAGATATCACATGTAACTCATGGCCGGTGCAAGCCTCTTCCACCTCAACTTCGTCCTCGGCCCAGATACCAATTGCTTCTTCAACCCCCTTCCTTCTTCATGTGGTATCACCCCCTGGGAAATGATCAAGAACTCCATCTGCTTCACTTTCTTCATCCTCCACAACTTCTTCCTTTACCCTTTCTTGCTCTTCTTCTCCCAGCACGGATTGGAGGGCAAGTCACCAAGCAATTTCTTTGATGAGATCATCTTGCATCTCCTCACTCATGCCCGCCTCTTCAAAGCTCAGTGTGGGGTGTGGGAAGGTGTGGTCGGCTACGACGGGACATTTCTGATCATGATCATCACAGGAGCTCTCCGTGATAACTTCTGTCTGCTCCATAATGTCTTCGTAGCCTTCGTCTTCCTCCTCCTCTTCTAGTATAGTAGCAGAAGGGTGATCTTGATCAGATTATGCATAAGATTTCTTAAGATCATCGAGGATCCTCTTAATGCTCAGGAGGATCTCATCTGTTTTACGATATGCCTGGGTACAAAGATCCATCTTGGAGCATGATCTCTCACTGTCTCGAGCAAACTACTCCATGAGAAGCCTCAATTCATAGTTTGGATCTGGCTGTGGAGTGTAGCATGGCTCTGCAGAATGGCCCGTGAAGGCCACCATGGGTAACTCCAGCTCCGACGGCCCTTCTGTTTGTGGGAGAAATTCTTCTTGGTAATGAGGTTGTTCTTGATATGCCCAGGGGTCTGATTGTTCTCCGTAGTAAGGGGGTTGGTACTGGAACCCAAATCCATAGTCTTCTCCTCCTTGATTTCTCCAGGGAGTCTCGGGGTAATACCACTCGGATGGTGGTGGATACCCCCAATGGTTGGAGAAGCCATGAGGATCCATGATTCAGATCTGCACCAACAAAAACAAAAACACCCAAGTGAAAAGCAAGGGTGGAAAAGAAAAGAAAAATGCTAAAATAACAAACTTCTGCCTTTCCTAATAATCTAGAAATCCCAGGCAACGGCGCCAAAAACTTGACTCGCTATGACACAACTCCTAACAATGGCCAAGTGTAACCAATAAAAGGGACTGCAGTATAGTGGCCCACGTAATAAATATCGAATCCACGGGTCTCTAGAGTTACTGTTACTCAACTTCAGTTCATTATCTAGCAAACCAGATTAAGATGGAAGAAGTAAAACTACTCTAACAAACTATAGTTAAAGTTAATCTAATTACAGGTTGGGAACTCACTTAGGTATGATTCCCCCTAGCCACTAGCCAGATTAATGATTGATGATCTCTAACCTGTTTCACTTTCATTCACAATGCGGAGAATCCTTAACTAGACCTTGAATCTCGACTAAAGGATCAAGGCCCTCTTGAGTCAATTGCCTAGAGGGACGTATCCTTCTCTAGAACAACCATTCAAGGCGTTCTGAACTAGATTCCCTCTATCGAATGAGGTTCTCAATCGATACAAAGCATTGAATCAACCCTCGACTAAAGCAATCAATCCAATACTATCAATATATGGTGCTCTATTGACCTAATCAGGTATTCGCTCTCATAGGATCAAAGCATAATCAATAATCTCGACTAAAGTAGAATTGAATCATGAAAACATGCATAGATTGAATATGAACGCAAGATTATCAAGTAGGAGTACTCATACAATCATCCAATCAAACAAACATAGCTAGGGTTCCTCAAAACCTAAGTGAAGGGAAGTTACTCCATAGAGAAGAGAGAGACTGCAGTAAGAATCTTCAGATGATCAGTCTTCAAGTTCGGGCTTGTTCCTCGAGCTTACAAGGTGAAGAAATCCACCAATTCCACTCCAAAAATTCCCTCAAATCGCCCTCTCTCACTCTTTAGTTCGTCCCTTGGGTGTTTGCGATCCAAAACCCAGCTCTCCCTTGCAAAAACACACAAAAGAGGCTTTTAACAGCCTGCGTTCGCGATCCCCGGTCAGAATACCCGATCGGGTATTTTAGATGGCGACTGGGGATTGTTGAAACGCACCGTCGAGGACAGAATTAATTCCCGGTCAAGGTCAAGAATACCCGACCGGGGATTTATGCTCAATGCCCGGGCCCCCTTCTGCTTCTCAAACGCCCAAAAGTGAAAATCCCCGGTCTGCTCAGATTAAAACCTGGCCGGGTATTTTTGCTCATGGCCGGGTATTTTGCTCCTCCAGCACACTTCAACTCAAACGTGCTCCTTTCGACCCAAAACTCGTTTCTTCGCCTCGATGCCAACGCCAAGCCCTGAAATATGACATAAACACACAACCTAGCGTGAAATCGGCTTAAACCACGAGAATCAACATCTCAAAAGGCTCAAGAATAGGGGTAAAAACATTTGCAATCAATGGTTTATCAATGTGCGCTACTGCATATGGCGGGTTCCCCCCAAAGCTTAGTTGTTGTTAGTATGTTGTTGTTTTTGGCCACGATGTTTGCAGTATAGTAGTTGCTGTGTTTTTAATTCAATTTTTGATAAAGGATGTCTCGGCTTTCCACGATGTCTGCTACGGAAAGGCACAAAGTGATTGTTGCTATTAGCTCATTTTGGAACCTTGTCATGATTTATGTCAATTTAGGAATGGAGGTGATGGAACTTACAGAGATGCTAATTCGTAATCCTAAAATTGGTAGGCAGCCCTTAGATAGTTACATGATGCGTTAGTACGATAGGCATAGGGTGATTGACAAATGTACCAAATTCAGTGATGACGAGAGTCACAGGAAGATTAGGATGCAACGTAGCTTATTCAAGAAGCTATGTGACCTTTTAGTTTCGGAAGGTGGGCTGAAAAGGACCCGAAATGCTGAAGTAGATGAAATGGTTCTCATCTTTCTATTGGCTATATCACATAACAACAAAATTCTTAGTTTAGCAGTGGATTTTTGCCGCTCTTATTAGATGATTTATAGGTTGTTCACCGAGTCTTACGGGCAATTCTAAGACTCAACAACCAGCTTATTAAGAAACCCGAACCCATTCTCGCTGATTCCACCGATAACATATGGAAATACTTCAAGGTCGGACACATTGACTTTTGTTAAGACAATATTACAAGCATTTGTAGTATTTTTTAGCTTAATTGTTTGCTTCTTTGTCTCAGAATTGTTTGGGAGCTCTTGACGGAACCCACATTAACGTGCGACCCTTGAAAGAAGAGCGAACTACGTATCGAGATAGGTCCGGTCATCTCTCCATCAAATGTTTGGGTGTTTGTACCCCCAGATTTAGAGTTCATATATTTTCTAGCTGGATGGGAAGGGTCTGCACATGATGCGAGAGTGTTGAGAGATGCATTAAACAGGTCGAATGGCCTAGTTGTGCCGGAAGATAATAGTTTCATAAACAAAAACCTACTTGGCATATAGAATAAGTATTCTCACACGAGTGGGAAATGCTAATTATAATTATTTTTTGACATAGGGTGTTATTACTTATGTGATTCGGGGTATGGTAACAACCCTGGGTTCTTGACCCCTATTCGGGGGCCAAGATATCATATTGATGAACCGGGGGGGGGGGGGGGGGGGGGGGGGACTTTCACGAAACAAGGAAGAGTACTACAATTGTAGACATGCTCATGCTAGGAACGTGATAGAGAAGACTTTTGGAATTATGAAAATTCTATGGGGAATTTTGAGGGATGTTAAGAAGGAGGAAGGAGCTAACTTTTATGAAAGAACCTACAGAGACCAGCCACATGAATAGAACCAACATGAATCTTCCGGGGTTGATACAGATGCAAACTCGGGCACTCAACCGACCGAAGCTCAGTATCAGTTTAGGTGGATTTGACCTCTAAAATTTGGAACGCTCGGCCTGCACGATTCAAAACTGCTTCATGAGTCTCTCTTTTGTAGTTTAATTGTTATGATTTATGTAATGTGTAGACAATTAAGTGGTTGGCTACCATTTGTTTAGCTTGTTCTAGGAAAATTAAGTGATTAGTTGTTGTTTGTTAAATTGTTATGAGTTATGTAATATGTAGACAGATTTCAGTGTTATGTAATCTGTTGGACCTTTTCCATAGTTATGTAATTTGTTGGCAGATGAATCTCTGTTTGATTAGGAATCTATGGACGATGGTGATGCTAGTTGCTTTTATTTAAGTTGTTGGGTGTTCATTTGGGCAGAAGTGGATTTATTCATTTGGGTCTGCCATTTGTTCATTGGGGAAGTTGTTGTTCGTTTATATATGTACCATTTTTTTATCCCTACTAATGAATCTATGTTTGATCTCTATTTGATAGATATGGGGAAAAGAAAGAAGGTGAACGACGAAGAAGATAATGGTGCTTGCTCCACGAAGTACTTCTTGTGGCCTGAGCATCTCAATAAGCCATTTGCAGATTGTATCTTAGAGTGCTTCGAGAAGGGACTGATAGTGTATGACATTTGTAAGAACGGTGTGTATGGTCTGCTTGCGAGGATGATGGAAGCTAAGGTCCCGGGCTGTGGAGTGAAAGCCAAGCCTCATGTAGAGGGTAGGATTAAAAAATGGAAGAAGATCTAGCATGCAATGACGTTCATGAGAAATCATAGTGGATGGGGCTGGGATGAGATTAATCAGTGTGTCACTTGTCCTAATGAACGTTGGGCTGACTTTGAGCTGGTAAGACTTCGTATATATTTAGATTGTACTTTGGGTAGTTTACTGGTTTCATGGAAAAAAATAAGATTTGTGAAGCTAATGGTTGGTAATTACTTGCAAAAACATCATAATTGTGAAGGTCTGAACAAGAAACCATTCATGGTTTATGATGCTCTGACACCGGTCTTCTGCAAAGGTCATGCAAGTGGGGATCATGGGGTTGACAATAATCCGATCTGTTTAGATGAAACATTAGGAAAATATGAGGGAACACCAAATATTGCATTCGAAGATGCAAATGAGGGCTTTGGGAGGAAATCAATGTGAAATTAGCTTATGAAAAAATACAGTCTGCAAGCATCAGGGGCGAAGCCAGAGCAGCGGCCGGGGGGCCATCCCCCCCCCCCCCCCCAATCTGAAACATATGTAAATACAGGTATGTGCAATAGTTATTTGGAGGAATGCTTAGATTGTAGTGGCAAGGTCGCGGGTTTGAGTATTCTATTAGACCTTCACCCCTACACACTGCAGCTGCCTTCTTTTTGTTATTTGGTTTTAATTTTATCCAACTAGCTTCAAGCCTGCCCGTTGGTCAGTAGGCCCTATTGTTGATTTTTTTTACTTTGAATTGTTATTTTAGTTTATAATATATTTGACGATATCCATACGTTTTATGATTATAACGACTAATTTAGGAAGAGTAAGTAGAAGTATAAGTTTAGACTCTCAAGAGTCCGAGAGTGCCTAATTCATCCTTTGCCTAAATTGAACGAGATCCTGGACTACGTAAGCCAATATGAACATTCCCACCTAATAAGCGTGATGAGATAAGGCGAGCTTACTTGAGTTGCGGCCCCCTACAATTTCAGATAGAGGAATTGCGAGCAAGGTTTGAGGAAAATATTGTTGAACTTCTGAAATTCAGCTCAAGTTTGGATCCTACCAATGAATATAAAGCCTTCGATATTAGTGCTATTTGCAGTCTTGCAGGAAAGTATTATCCTTTGGATTTTTCTGAGAAAGAAATAGATAGATTGACATTCCAGTTAAGGATTTTTCATCGTGCTGCTCTTACACATCCCGTTTTGGCGAATCTATCATTTGTTGCTGAATTGTGTTGTGGTTTAGTAGAGTTTGGGAAGTCAAAGGATTTCGATCTTGTTGATCGGCCGATTCGTCTTGTTTTGACTCTTCCAGTCTCTACTGCTAGTGGTGAACGAGCTTTTTCTGCCATGAAGTTAGTGAAGACCAAACTGCGCAACAAAATGGATGATGATTTTCTAGCCGATGGTCTTATTATTTATATTGAACGGGATATAGTAGACACTTTTAGTTTAAATGATATTTTGAGTGATATCTAGCCGACGTGTACGTTTAAGATAATAAATAATATATTTTATATTAGGGTATGTCTATGGTAACATGCATGTCACCGTAACTTGCACTTTTAGGTCGACCTCATATAGGATTAGGTCGACCTAATATGTTGTTCCAGTTTTGTGAGGTTCCCGAATACACTAATGTGGGTACCCTGATGACTTATCACGGTCGACCTTTAAAATGTAGTGGTCGACCGTTTGTAGTTTAAATTGTCATTGTTGGTCGATCATAATAAAACATCGATCGCCCTTTTCATTGGCGTCAGAAGCAAAATGGTCGACCGTAAAGGTTATAGGTCGACCACTTGATGGCGGTTATTAACAAAATGGTCGACCATTTATAGAAAAAGGTCGACCAGATAGAAGAGAAGTATTGTATCCATTTATCCATCATTATTTGACGTAAAATGAAGATCAAGTGTTGGTTTCGCGGTCGACCGAATACACGAAAATCAACCTATACCCTGCATTTTTTTGCTTATGTATGTCGACGTGGGTGGTTCTTTTGCTCGTACAAATTACGTTTCAAACCAACATAATCAGTCATAAATAATGATAACAAGGACTCATAACTTCCACGTGGTCGACCTCTTGAATCACGTACAACAGCAACCGCAAAGGGTCTTCTTCACAAAAGCTCTAACCATGAGTTTTGGTGGTCGTGAAGGTGACATATATTCGTATTTATAGATAGTTAGGACGAGAATGGGTCGAATTAAGTGGTAGGTAAGTTAGGGTTACCTTTCTGGTGTTGGAATCCTTATCCTATACGGATATGGTGTGCACGCGGTCGACCTTGTACTTATGCGACCGACCTCAGTTAATCAAAATGATCGGCCTATGAGGTATTTGGATCGACCTTTCATTCTGTTCGCTTCCCAAAGAGGTCAACCATTTGCTATAAAAGGTCAACCGCGTCGTTAAACCTCACGAAACTAAAATGACATATTAGGTCGACCTAATCCTATATAAGGTCGACCTAAAAGTGCATATTAGGTTGACCTAATCCTATATGAGGTCGACCTAAAAGTGCAAGTTACGGTGACATGTATGTCACCGTAGCAAATTCCTTTATATCATCATCATCATCATCATCATATTGTTTAAAATTTGTATCCCCCCCCCCCCCCCCGGGATTCAGAATCCTGGCTTCGCTCCTGGCAAGCATGCCGGCTTCAACAGATGGTGGTCCACCGAAGAAGAAAAAGAAAAAAGGAATGACTATCGAAGAACGCCTTACCGATGTGACTAGAGAAATGAGAGATCTTCGCCCTTTGATTAAACAATCTGTGGATACAATTGCTAGAGAACTTGGAGAGAGTGATGATATCATAAGCACGCGAGATAATCTCTTTGAGAGCTTGGAGCAACTTAGAGGGCTGGACCGAGAAGAGATCATTGATGCAGTGACAGTCCTATCGAACAATGATCGACACTTGATGATGTTCTACAAGATACAAGACGTTTTGGACAAGCTGATGTTTGTGAAAAGGTTGATTGGTTGAATGTAGGGAGAAGAGTTAGTAATCCCAACTTGTATATAAGCTTTTTTGGGGGTTATTAGTGCTTGGTCTTTGTGATGTCAACTCGAACATGGTGTTTTTAAGTGATTAGTAGGGGTTGCTGTGATCCCATCTCGGACATGAAGCCTTTTTTGGGGATTACTTACTCTTCTTTTAGGCATGTCATAACATTTTTCTTAGCTTGAAGTTGTACTGCATTTGATATTTTATGTTCTAAACTCTGCAATTGGATATGATTTGAATCTGTCTACAATTATATTCTACAGAACCAACCGTTGATGTTATATGATTTCAATCAGTCTGCAATTTTATGATTTCAATCAGTCCGCAATCACATTCTGCAGAACCTACTGCATATGACTTCAATTAGTCTGCAATTACATTATGCAGAACCAACCTTTCATGTTATATGATTTCAATCAATCTTCAATTTTATGATTTCAATCAGTCTGCAATCACATTCTGCAGAACCTACTGTATATGATTTCAATTAGTCTGCAACTACATTCTAGCTTCAACAAACTCTGCATATTTATTCATGTTTCAATTTTTTCAATCCTTACATTAGCAATCCTATTACGACAGCCGCACACAACATGTTGTGTGCAAACAAGCTTACATTCCCCATACAACCATATCCATCCTAACACAACAACCAAGCAATCCTAACACAACATGCTCACACAACCAGAACCATCCTAACACAACAACCTTGATCAAATAGGATTACATTCTGAATAACCTATCTCAACCCAAGTGTCCCTTCAACACGAGCCATTCTGAATAACCTATCTCACAACATATTTGGAGATGGCGGATGAAGAACGACGCCCTACCGACAATGATGTTGTGACCGACGAATGGCGGCAGTTGCTATCCTCCAGAGCGCAACAAAGGAAAGGATCGACAATGGTGAGAAGAAACCCCAGCAGTGCGCGACCAAATTTGGGATCTTGTACAAATAAATAGAGAAGGTGAATTATGTAATTGTGCATTCTCATTTTATAAATGCCACATCTGTTCCCAAACGTGTGATTTTCCTAAAATTTCACACAAATTTTATAAATTAAAAACCTAGGTTTTTAAACCAGTAATTTGAGCCAAAAGCCACAAATTAAAAACCTGGATGCAAATGACCTCATTTGTTTTCTGTTCTCTATTTGTGATAAAGGTACTTAATATAACTCATAGACGAGATCCAAATCTATGCTTGGTCGAAGTACTATATAAGTAGTTTACATAGTGCATAAGAACTATTTCATGTGATGGATAATGAAATCCATAAATAGGCGAAAGATTACTAGATCCACAGAGCTTAATCGACCCACAAATCATATTGCAACATTATTCCATAAGTGACTATTACTTAGTGATCTAATAGCGGTTATAAGTGTACTAGATTTCAAGACTTTTGTTTTTTTAGACAGCTCATTTCAAAGAGAATGGAGTGGGAATAAATGTAATCTTTACGGTGATCAACCAACTCGATAGACTTATTGGAACATGATTCCACAACGAGATATCAAATTCCTAACTTCCAAAGGAGATCTACTCCATGGACACACTATAGATAGAGGCATGTAGACCTTTGATTGAGAAAAAAACCCCTAAAAATTTAGGGGTGGAGAATGAATGCACTATGTCGAGCTATGAAAGAAGGGTGCAACTTATTTTTTCTGTGCTTTATCCAAATTAAATTTAGTATTCATAATCCAAATGTCAATTGTAGAAGAATCACACTTCCTGAAAACCGATTATTGTCACTAGGCATTTGGACAATGGATGTGATGTCACAAAACACAAAAGAATCTTACACTAGGCATTTGGATTATGGATATGAATAGTAAGTTCAAACCCATCCAAAGTGCTCAAAAAGAGGAGAAACCAGTTTTACACCCTTTCCACTCAATCAACTAACAGTGCATGTGAAGGAATGAAAGACGACATAGGATAAGAAGGTTCGAAAGTCTACAGAAATACGAAGGACTTCTTCGTGTTCTTCCACAAAAAGAGGTTCTCATAGATGGAGGACCTCATATATATCCTTCCCTAGCGAGAGTATATTAGTCTGATTTGTGCTTAATACTATGTTTGCGATAAGAAAAGGAGCGACTGCTATCAAATCTTGATACTTGCGTCAAATGGACGTCAACAATGTTTATTTGAACGTTAACTTAGAAAAGGAGATTTATATGAACTTGCCTCTTAGGATAGTATTCGAGGGAAATGAATTGTAACTCTAAACCACGTGGTTACACCTATATAGGGCTGCAAATGAGCGAGCTGCTCGTGAGCGGTTCGGTGTTAGGGATGGCAAATTACCCACCCATGGGTAATTATACCCAAACCCAAGTAGACCCATTGATAATGGGTTGGGTATGGGTGAAGTGCATATGGATTTGGGGGTTTATAGATGGGTTTGGGTTTGGGGCTTCCATAATCTAAATGGGTATGGGTTGGATATGGATATCCATTTACTTGAGGGTGTTTTAACTACACATGCAAAAATTGGACCTATTTGTAAAACTTGAAAAGTTTGGTACCAAAATGTAAGACTAAAAAAATTTAGGTACCAAAACGTAATTTTCCATAGATATTTTGAGGACTTATATGCAAAAAAAATTAAATTTAGGTACTAAATATGCATATCTATTAAGTTTGGGTACCAAAATGTAATATGTATTTGGGCATGGGTACAAACCCAAATCCATTTGATATAAACCCAACTCAACCCAAAGTAAATGGGTATGGGTACAAACCCATCAAACTCTACCCATATCCATCTATTTGGATTTCATACCCAACCCAATTGGGTTGGATAGTAAGAAACCCATGGGTATGGGCAAAGTTGCCATCCCTATTCGGTGTTGGACTCGGGAAAAACTCGTTCCAAACTCGACTTGTTTACTAACGAGTTGAGCTTGAGCTAAGCCTTCTGCAGCTCGTGGAGCTAGCTCGACTCGATGGCTTGTTGAGCTCAACTGGTGAGCTGGCTCGTTTAGAGCTCATGAGATGTCTCAACTCTCAATATTGTGCTAGAGAGCCAACTCGATTACCGACTTATGAGCAAAGTGAAATATATTGGTTTGATTTTGATAATTCATAGGATTGTTAAATTATATATCTCGCCCGATATGATGTTTAGCATGTAGATTATGTGAGCAAACATGTCTTATTTAATTTTAAAAAGAAATTATGTACTATAGATTGCTTCGATACTATGATAACTAATCTTGAACACTTGACTATTATTGTTTTCAACACGACATTAATCACACGTATCATACATGACATACAAAATTAATATATCAAATACGAGTCAAGATTTTAGTAACCAAACTAGCTCAAACTCGACTCGTTAATAAACAAGCTGAACTCGAGTTTAACTCGTTTATTAATGAGTCGAACTCAAACTGGGATACAACTCTACTCCAACACCTACATATATAACAACATATTCCGCCAAAGAGCAACATCAAAGGGGGAAAAAATGTTAAAGCAACACAACTCATTCCAGAGCGCAAGGAAACCAGCTAATGAGTCCAACTGTTTTACGTCGTCCCCTCCATCTTTTAGCCTTTTTCTCGAAGGTAGATTATTATTATTCCCCTGACCTGGCAGCTGATAAACGTTCCAGTGGGTTGCCACCAAGCAGAAAGAACTCTTCCTGGAGAAAATTCGGGTCCCCTGTTTCCGTTAGCTTTCCCCACTTGTTTATTCTCCCTTTCCCCACTCATTCTTTTGGCCGTTTGCTTGCGGCTTTTTCCATTGGGCCCCTCTTTAACAATTACAGAGCACGAAGAAAGCTTCAACAAAGTGCAAACTGAAACGATCAAATTACGTAAGCAATTGGAAAGAATCCCCTGTTTCTGGACTCCCCTGTGAAGTGTAAACCAAACCCAGAGGCAGAGACCAGGTGAATTGGGGGAGAAAAGATACAGAGGAAGGAGAAAAGGAAAAGGAACTGAAAACCCAGATGTGAGAATGTTAAAGCTTGAAAATTGGCTACAGATCAAAGATAAATTGCTGACGGCGGTGGCAGCCCGCAACGGTCAATGATTGGCCGGCGGGGAAGCAAAACAGAGAAGGGGGGAAACGAGGAAAGCAAAAAATTGAGCTCTAATTCTACGGCTCGATGAAGGACTATACAATGCAATTATACAATTATCAAAAAATTAGAAGAAGAAGAAGAATCCATATTTCCATCGCCGTAAAAAGAAAACAAAAAGCCCGAATCTTGAGAGGCAGCTCCAATTATCCGGTTCTTCTTCTCCCCTGTTCTTGAAAATCGATTATCAAAAGTGGCAGCCGCAACAGAGGTAGAAGAAAGACAAGGTGGCCACCAACACAATCGCCTCGAGAACAGATGCGATCTTGAATAGGACGTCGTCGACGAGCGATATCTGCAAATTGACGCGCTTCCACTTGAAAACAGAGGTCAAGAACTTCCACCTCCACCGAAGCGACTCCTTGTCCAACTTCAGCCTCCTGAAAAACCCCAATCCCGATCTCCTCTTCCTCCTCCTCGGTTCTCCTCCGCCGGTGGTAACACTGTTGCCGGCGAGGCTGCTCGCTGGGCTCATGGCTGCGGTTATGCCTTCGCCGCCTCTAATTCCGACTTCTTCTCCGTCATGCCTCCCCATCTTGTGATTTCTCTCGCAAATTGGGAAATTTTCTTCTTCTTGCTTGGAATTTTTGTTGGGTTTTATGTGAGGAAGGAGAACTTGGGCGAAATAGGGCTGGGGATGGGCAGTATTGCTGTAGACGGCAGACTGGCAAAGGGCAGGGAAGGGAAGGGGATTTATGGCTTCCCACGGGGGCAGATTTGGAATATCCGCAAAGTAAAGGAAAAGTGTGACGATAATATGCGGGCGGGTGTAGCTGGAGCCATCTGTACAAACTACAAAGCAAGGCAACCATGGAAGAAAAACTTGAGTTAGGGTTACTATACCACAACGGTACTATGGGAGCGGGTGCTTGTGACTCGATATTTAATAGGTGTTTTGGGTCCTCGTGATTTATAAGCTGTACATTAACATTCGATCGATTAGTAGCCTTTGTGATATCGTGCAGTAAGTCCATAACAATAAGTTAGTATGGAGAACAAACTAGTATCTGTCTTATCACGAAATTGCAATAATTTTATAAATTTATCGTAACTCTTATAGTTTAATTGGTCATATCAAATTTAATATCATGAAGGATTTCGCAATAGCTATGCGGGTATTCCTTTTCCTCTTCTAGGGCTTCCATGGATGCTTATTCATTTTATCTTCTTGGCCTCAATACCCTTGTTGAACCTGTTGTGGATAATGGAAGGATTCAAGTTCTTCCTCCGAGAGGTCTTTTGGACGAAGGCAAAGTGGAGTGGGAGTGCGGTCACTTAATCATATGAGCTACATCGAAAGTGGAAGCCACCTACTACTAATATATTTCACAGGTGGCAGAATTCTAGACCATATAACCTTGCCAATAAAAGCGGCCTACTATATCGCAGTAAGGGCTTAAGCGATCGTAGTGACCTAACCTGGCTCTATCTAGAAGGGCCTCGGTCATCTATATCATCTTTGGAACTCCTAAAAGATTTTACGACCTAGCTCGTCATACTTGTAAACCTGTATTATTTGAAGGGAGTACTGGAGTAGAAATATCGTCGTAAATTGAATGATCAGTAGTTGTTAGCTTTTACAATGCCTTAGTTTAAAAAAACATTAAAGTAAAAGTTGAATGGTACCTTTTAAATTAGGGTTAATAGCATTTTGTACCCTTTTACTTTTGTAAATTAACAAACGTACCTCTCTACTAAATTTTTGCACGAACGTACCCTTGTATTATTAAAACGTAACGAATTTACCCTTCCGTCTAATTATCTGTTAAGTGACCGTTAAATGGGCTAGGAAATGACCAAATTGCCCTTCATTAAATTTTTAAATGAAGGGCAATTTGTTCATTTCCTAGCCCATTTAACGGTCACTTAACAGATAATTAGACGGAAGGGTAAATTTGTTACGTTTTAGTAAAGGAGCACGTTTGTTAATTTGCAAAAGTAGAGGGTACAAAATTCTATTAACCCTTTAAATTATGGTACAGATTCAATTTGTTCATATACCTTTTTTGTACAAATTTTATGGTACAAATTAAAACTATAACATATAAGTAGTTTTGTATGCTACAAACTAAACATGTAACTTTAAAGTTACAGTACAAGTTCAATTTATATCTCAAAATTTTCTACCAGATTCTCTTTTCCTTTCGATGGGAACGGATATAGTCAGTAATCTTGTGATGAGTAACCATGCATAACCCAGTCACCATCCCGCCACATTAGCTCCCTTCTCTCTCCTATAAAGCTTTTAATCCCCCCTCCAAAAAAAAAAACTTTAGCGAACGATTTCTCACTCGTTTTAAGCCGATTTTTTTTTTTTTGCAAGTTAGATAAGATTAATTGTGCTCTTCAAAATGATATTCACTTTGATATATTTTTGGAACAAAAAAATTTTGAGCCATTTTTTACCTGTCTAATGTCTATACCATATGGTATTGACTGGTATTGAAATAAGAGCATATCATATGGTATGAAAAGAGTACCATGATGGTATGAACATATCAAGACTATAGGATGGTTGAATACATGATCGTAGGAGTATACTAACTGTCATTACGACTTTTAACATTATGTACCACATGATACTACCCCGTATCAGGGTGATACTATGTGGTGTTTTTTGGTCCTGTATTTTGTTCACCCAGAAATTTTTAGATACAATAGATCAAGATGAACTCGTTTTTTCTGTGCAAAATTTTTCAAAAACGACTTAATAACGAAGAAGATTCCATGTGGTATGCAGTTGGTAACGAGAGGCAATAATTTTTTTCTCAAAAAATATTGAAAATGGATCTCATTTTGTAGAGCACAACGAACTCGTTCTATAAGTATAAAAAATTAAAATCCAAGTCAAAACGAAGAAGATATGAACCGATTAAAAAAACAAAAAAAAATGCATTTAATTCTCCACTATTATATCTGAATTTTCTGAATCAAAAGTCCATATTTAGTTATTAATAATGATGATGGGTGCATAGCCCTGGAGCCCCTTTCGCTTCCTTTCCTCATTGTCATTTACTGCATTTCCTTTTTCACTCTACTAGAAACCAAGGAAGTGAATTCCCTTTTTGGAAAGGGTTTGGTGAAAACTATGTCGTTACAAGATTCCCCTGTCATTAGTGTTAGCCGTTACCCGTTAGGCAAAGAGGTGAATGAAGTTGTCAAAGTGTAATTAATAATAACTTAATTGATGTTTTAATTAGGGCTTGTCGTTTTCAGGAGCAGGGTAGTTACTAAGTAGTATTGACAGCCGATAAGTCAGATTGGGGATGGATTAGGTGCTAACCCTTATAGGGGTTAGCACCGTGATAACTAGCAAAAATCACTACAGATTATTATAAAATCAATACAACATTTAAGCTAAATCACTACTAATTCAAACTAGTAGTAGTTTTTCCTTTGGTTAGGACGGTGCTAACTATTGTACAATTAGCACCGTAACCGTTCCCGTCAGATTGATATTCACTAAACACTGAACAGTATGCACTAAGTACTTAGTAGTATGGTAATTCGTTTTGGAATTAAAGAAATTCATTTGAAAAAATATAAATTTTGAATTCGATGGAATTCAAGTCAGTTTTACCAATTCTGAATAATGAATGTGGAATTTCCAAACGAATGTCTCAAGTAATTTACTAATTATGACATAATTAAGTAATTTACTCCTGTATATATGCTATTGCACCAATATTTCATATTTTTGCGCCTAATCATCATTGTTTTTGGTCGTGTGCTTTACCTAATAAATAATCATCGTTTGAAACCATGGTAAAGGAAACCGTACCGGAGGTCATACCGGATCCGCCAGCGGTAGGGTATTTTGTGATACGACCGTGGTTCAATTGTTGTGTACCGGCAAAATACCGTTTTTGCCAAAAACAACTAATTAAAGCTTCGCCCATGAAACCTACGGATAAAAAGGAGTAAGCCGAACTAATTGAACCTAATGGAGCCCAAACTTAGCTGTCAACCCTAAACGAATAAACCTAAGCTCCCCCGCCGACTTCTCGAGCAGGGGAGGGAGAGGCGCACCGGCTGACCTGAGGAGGAGCAGAGAGGAGCAGCGGACGGCTCACCGACCAAGGAGGAGCGGAGAGGAGCGGCGCGCTGGTTGAGGAGGAGCAGCGGCGGAGAGCAGGTGGCTTCGCCGGTCGAGGATCGCTGGTCGGCGGTTCCTGGTCGCCGGTCGCCAGAGGAGAAGAGGAGAAGCGACGCCGCGACGGGGGGTTCCTGCCTTCCTGGTCGACAGCCGCTGGGGAACAATGGAAGAAACAAAAGACGACTTCTTTTTTCGTTTAGCTGATTTGCATTAGGGTTTTGAGCATTTTGGCCTTCGGACGATTTTAATAATTCAATTTTTTTTTTGGCCAAAACAGCGTTGTTCCCTTACCAGATATACCCCCGGTTAGACCAAAACCGGGCGGTTTTTTGTATTGTGCCGGTTTGACCGTACAAACCGACCGACACGATATTCTTGCTACCAATGGTCTACCGTATCGCTCAGGGTCGGATTTCCTGTTTTACCGGTTCAACCGGCCGGTACGATCCGGTTTCCTTTACCATGTTTGAAACATGGCTACATCTTCTTTTGTGGGATTGGAGGAGTGTTCTGTACGGGCGAAAGGTCTTGTGCGTGGGCCTCAGCTGGTAGGTGTGAAATGTAGTAAACACAAAGATGGGAGATATGAAGTCTTCATACAGGGAACGGTTACGGTGCTAATTGTACAATAGTTAGCACCGTCCTAATCAAGGAAAAAACTACTACTAGTTTGAATTAGTAGTGATTTAGCTTAGATGTAGTATTGGTTTTATAATAATCCGTAGTGATTTTTGCTAGTTATCACGGTGCTAACCCCTATAAAGGTTAGCACCAAATCCCATCCCCTTCATACACACTACGTGACATATTCTTACAACATATTTCAGACAATTCAAAAAATATGTTTTGGATTATTCACGTTTAATATGTATTGTGAATATTGATAGAAACATTGTTAGGGTTTTCTATTATTAATTATGGTAGGATAATTATTATTAGGGTTGAGTCATATTAGGATAGTCTATTAGGTTTTTCTAGTCCTTAGCTATAAATATGTACTCTGGGTCTTTTGTGGGATTAAGCAGAAATCAGTTAAAGAATTATTTTCCCAAATCCTAAGCTCTTCCTATCTCCTAATTTCTCTTCTTGCCTAGTCCAAGGCTTCGGCCGATTCTTTATTCTGTTCTTCCTCTCCTAATCTCAATCTCAAATTCCTAATTATGTTCTTAATCTCTAAATCCCCAATTCCCGATAGAATTCTAGAAACAAAGTTCTATCAAATATTCATAACAGTTGTTGTTAATATTCTCTTCTCAACTGTTATGAACATTTTCAATGAACGCATTTTGTGAATATTCTTAACAGTTCACGTAAATACACATGTTGTGAGAATATGTCGTCGCTCGCTTGACTAACGAGTTTAGTAATGTCAATTTTTTGATTGGCGATGCAAATATGTCGTTTGTTAGACGACTGACGATATTCGTCCACCTCCACCGCCAAATCAGCAAAAATATTGGGTACTTAAAAAAAAAGGTATACTATTGGAAAATATCCTGGTAGCTTCTACGAGCTAATGAAAGTATCGAACATTCAACAGTACCGTAGCTGTCTATGAATGGACTCCATGACATATGTTCTCTTTTTTTCCTTAGTTTGCTCAAACATTGACGACTGAAAATGATTGAAGCGAAATATAGGAATGGTCAGATTCTTCGTGCTTAATTTAATCTTCCAATTCTCAGCCACGTAAGATTTTTTTTTTCTCGGATTCATATTCCTTCTATCTGTGTTCTCCGAAAGATTTTGGTTTTTAGGAATAGCTCACGATTCTTCCATCTCATAAT